TTATAAAGGCTGAAGATGCAATGAATGATATCAGGGATCGCTTGAAGAAAAAAGATGAAACATTATCCGAGATTAATGACGCTGTTAAGAAATACGAGCAAAGGGTAAATCGGCTATTAGAATTGCTCGATTCAATTGGTGGGAGAATTCCAAAGGAATTTAAGTTATTAGAGGTTGAGGTTAAATACGTTGATTGCCAGTGGGAAAAACATGATGTAAGTATATCTTAATTTTCAATTTTGTCAATGTTAGCATGTTGATTAGAATTACATTAGCATTTCGATTTTAGCTTGAATTTGTTATTAAAATGGATATTTATGTTTCTACAATCGCTTAGGGCTTAAGGACGGAACTTGATGAATTGAAAGAGACGATGGATAATTTAAATAACACATTCGCGAATCTTGCAAAAATATAAACTTCAAGCTGTGAAACTACAATGAAACAAGATGATAATCATTTTTTTTATTACTAGATCGTGATTGTAAAATGTGAGAATTATAATTCAATAAAGTAAGATTTAAAATGTAATAAAATGTAGGATATTCATGTACGTAAATTGTTGAAATAACCAGTACTTATCTAACATACTACTTATAAAACAGTTATCATAGCAGTACTAGGCTTAATACTGTATAAAACATATTACTAATGGACGTAATCGATCAAATAGCATTACAAGAAGTATGAACCTTGGATTAGTGCGTTTTTATAGCCTGTAAATTACTATTATAATTTCAGCATATGGGTACTGATAATATAAATGATTACGCAGATAGTAGCAAAGTCTAGCAAATGTTAATATTAGAGTATCTTCAAAGTTGGTACCTTTCAGAGTTAAATTTTATTTAAACACTGTGAAATAGAAGACGAGCAGATTCTATGCAGTTGCTACCACTATGTGATCTGCAACATCTAATACTATTTTAATATTTTAAATCTTAGCAGAAGAATATTGTCCATTTAGTTTTTCTCAGTTTTAGTATAGCGTATAATGGACGAACGATAGAATTTGGTAGTACCCCCCTCCCAGCCCATGTGCAGTAAGTAGTAAAACTGTAGGTACACAGCACTTTGAAGTCCATTTTTAATTACATCTTTTTACGGTGGCACGATAGAATGAGAATTTAAGATCTTGGTTGTTTTTATACTCATCATAAGAGAATACAAGCACGATGCATGGACCTCACGTATTGGCAATGTGGCTAGTACTTGCTTCTTAGCAACAAAACAAAAGCAGCATTGTTTACCGTCAATAACAACTATCATTAATGATGGCTTTAGAATATGAAGATTTTAGTTATAAAGACTATGTACACAATTAATATTGTATTCATGCAAAAGGACCGATTTTAACTGCGAACAACGAGTTCGATGGATAGCATCGGGTATAACATGTAGTAATGAAAGTAGGCGGCAATGCGATGATACAATGTACTACGTCTGCTATAATACGCGTATATGTTATATAGCCTTAAGTCAACATGCTAATCTTCTATGAACTCTGTAAGCACAGTATTGATCCATAGCTATAAATGATGATATCGGGTCCAAATTTATGTTAATATCATCAATTTCAACGAGCATTACAGTTGTTTCTACTTGATGTTGTAGTTCAAATTCGTATTAATATTCATAATTTATCCACTGAATGGATTAAACGAGTAAAATTGGCAAACGGGAAATTTGTATAATAATAATAACAATTACGTATATTATTATGCGAGCAAATACGTATGAGATATCAATGCTTTGTTTGTATGTTGTATACATTGAAGTGAATTTACTTTAAATTCAACTTACGTTCTGCTGCATACCATCGTTTATATATTCTATTTTAATTAATTTTATCAATATTTTTCAGTAAGAACACTGTAAATACTATTACTGGCATATACTATGCATTTGAATCGCTAGTTTACTACGGGCAATGTGTTACTATAATTCGCTTTATTACTATCTTTGGTATCTATGTATTTATTTATTAACTTAATAATATTTGTTATAATTATTGACCGAAGACCTTATGACCGATTTTATACTAAGATGCAAATTATGTACTTCTGCGCGTATCAATGTATGTTCCACCAATTTCAGGAAAAAAATGCTCGCTATCCCCTTCTCGAGAGAAAAGACAAATACCAAATGGGAGCTAAAATTGTTTATACTGTAGATTGTATTTTACGCCCTTACCCTTTCTTCTCAATTTTTTTACTGACAATCTTACTTGAGGGGCCCTTAGTACGCTATAACGTACATGTATCAGATTTTTACACGAAGTATAATTCTGAGAAACGGAAACAGTTCGTGTTAGTGTAATGAGCTTATTAGAGCATATATCGATTTGATATGCGTAAAAACGTTATCGATATATGACTTTATACGTTAAAAGATTCTTGTTCGAAGACTACTTTGCCGCACCACACAGAGTGGTCAGAATAGAGTATTCATGTATTAAATACTGTAGATTCGATTTATCCAAAGGCTTTGTACATTGTCGCCGTATTAGTAAAGTAGATACAGGCATATCCAAACTGCTATTTACTGTGTTTGTAGTTTATGAGTAAGATAAGCGGTTAACGTGTGAGGTAGACTTTGATGGGTGATATCATTCACGCTTAAAAAGTTAAAAAAGAGTTTCTAGTCATCATGTATCACGCGAATTTATGAACGGAAAAAAGCCTGAAATCTACTCTATGAAATTGTCCTATTCAGTATCAACCGAACTATCGGCAAAGTGCCGACAAGTTACGTTACTTTTCACTCATTTAGACATTGTCATATAGTACATTTAAATCTTGTTTTTGTAAGACCACCTATGTTGATCTAGCACAATAACCATAGAGGATAGTATTATTGTTATCATAGTTATGGTACCCTCGAGCTACAAAACATTGCTATGATTGTATAACTGAATTACTACTTACTGTCGACGAAGAGAGCTTCATATCATTATCTGCAAGTGTATGCGTAAAAACATGCATCATTTGTTATTAATGAGAGCACTATCCGTCCATTAAGGAATTTTAATTATGGTTATGGTTTCAATTATTCTGGTCAGTATGTGCATGAGCAGAAATTAGTAGAGAAATTTTTGATGTGTACAAGTATAGTACTGTAATGGCAGTATTTAACTGCAAGTTTTTTGAATGGATTCTTAATAGACCTTGATAAGCTCCGTTGGTCCATTATTTTCTTTATGCATATATTGTATATATATATTGTCATAAAATATATAGTATATACTGTATAGCTGTCCATTGAATAATCAAGCCTTTCTTTCTGCCGAACCCGCGCACATGCCATGGCTATTTTCTTCCAGATTTTAAAAGGGATTGCATTGTATTCTTTGTACACTAGTGTTCAATTATATAGTAGGTAACATTTGTTTCAAGCAATCAAAACACCTACAGTATCTCAACCTATACTATAGTAAGCCGTAGTGGCATAATTCGTTTTCTTTCATATCCAAATCAAAGGGCAGCATTGCCTACTGGAGTAATAGAAATGAGGCGCTTTCAATGAAAAAATGGCCAGTTACTAAAATCATTTTGCTTGTAATGAATATCTATATGCCACATGCCATGCTCTGCCATGCAAGCAAGGATAGCATAGGGAGTTGTGTAAGAGAAATTTCCTTCAAATGTTGTCTTACAAGTCCAGTGGGCAGCATTGCCTACTGGGGCAATAGCGCTAGTATCATTAGCTAGAAATGAGGCGCTTTCAATGAAAAAATGGCCAGTTACTAATATCATTTTGCTTGTAATCTATATGCCACATGCCAAGCTCTGCCATGCAAGCAAGGACAGCACAGGGAGTTGTGTAAGAGAAATTTCCTTCAAATGTTGCCTTACAAGTCCAGTGGGCAGCATTGCCTACTGGGGCAATAGCGCTAGTATCATTAGCTAGCAATGAGGCGCTTTCAATGAAAAAATGGCCAGTTACTTTCCAAACAGTCGCTAATAAAAGACAGAATTCAAAGAGTCATTCAACTGTTGTACTGTACAGTACTGTTGTAGTGTGATGCGCCGTTATACCGTACGCACAGTATAGCACGTCATGCGTTGAGCGTCTCATCAGAACGACGTTACAATAGCAGCGTGTGCAGAGCAGCGGTCAATACATTATTTTTCCATACAGTGTAATTAGTGTAAAGGTGACGCTATCAGCCAGCGAGACAACCTTCACTCCAGTGTAAATATTGTATACTATGGTGACGCTTTTTACGCACGTACGTACAGCACAGTATGACACACAATTAGCCTGTTGAAACTCGCTGTCACTCATTTATCAGTGAATCAGTGAATTGGTCAGTGAATCAGTGAATTTGTCATTTTAGTCTATTTCATTTTTTCTTAATCCTACTGCAATAATGACGACGAAGAAGGAGAGTAAAATTGTATTTTTGAATATCAGCTGGTCTTAGCTGCAGTGTTAGTTGATTCCATTATCGGTTATTAGACTCGTATACTAAGAATTTCAATGATAATTCGATAATCAAGTTGTGCAAATTTCAAAAGTAGTGCAGTGTGCGCCAACCACGTTACAGTCTCCAGATATAGTCATTGGATAGACGTCGAGATATTGTGGATAGAATCAGTCTATCCAATTGGTAAAAACACGAACAAATCAGTCTTAAATTTCCTTTTACACGAAATATTCTTTGAACGACCGCCAGTTAGCGTACTGGCATCATACGCATCTATGTAGCGGGAATCAAAGAAATGATAGTAAGTTCTCCAAGGAAAAAATAACGTGCTCTTGAAAGAAAGTTTATTCAATTTTACTCAATAACTAATTTCACAATATACTACTACTGTTGGGCAGCAACAACGGTAGTACATTACTAAGAGTCGTATTGGCTACATTATTCTAGTCTAACCTTTTTATCTTTTATTCTCTTGTTACATGGATACCTAGCTACAGCACTAACATTCAAAATTTCCAACGAGTCATTAGCTCAAGTTCGAACTTACAATTGATATCATTACCCAACCAAAATGGATACTTTACAACACACACTTTCATCCGCCGAACAAATCTATCGTAAGTTAGATGGTAGACTACAAGAATGGAGTCAATTTTTAACTCGAGCTAAGAAATATACACAAGAGTTTTGGCAGTATGTCCATCAACTTAAGACAAGCATTAAAATGTATCTTGATACCGTTGAAAACTTAAAACAAGCCGTTAATCAGGCTGAAATTGACGCCAATAGAAAAAAATTACAGGTAAACAGATGCTTGAGAGTATCATAAAAGTGCTCAGATCGATATGGTAGATAGATCACTATGATAATTATAAATACTGTACTGTAGAATATTTCTGAATGCTTATATTATTGATTAAGATGTGAAATAGGTTTATGCTATTATTTTTAGTAACTAATTGTTCAAAGTAATCAAATCCTTCATTAGTAAGATCTACACTCGCAAAGAGACTGATGGTCATTTGTTGATAGATGAGTTATAAAATTTTCGTTAAATTTGATCTATTTATACTGCTATTTTAAAGTCCATGTACTACACTACAGTATTGTAGCTACGTGAAATTCCGTTTATAATGTCAGCGATTTCTACAGTATACTCTGCTTTAATGGTGCATCTATTTTTTGTCCACTCTCTTTGTATCAGAAACATTTCGCTGCAGTATTCTTATACGGACAATAAACCTAAAATTAATTAAGCTTGATATACTGTAGTATCAGTGCTCCTTTTCATTTTAGCCGTCCTTATACTGCAGAATAACTTGTTATATCGTGTGTCAGGACTCATGAGGCAATATCTTAATAATACGAAATCTCACATTAGAAAACAGAAGATAAAAATAGACAGTGACTTATAGTACTGCATGTCTTCTCATCCGAAAGCTTTTAAAGAAAAGGGTAACTTTAAGATACCTACATGTTCTTAGCTAAAATCGAACTTTAGGTAGAGTAAAGCACATAAATTGATGAGGATACCACTTTTAACGAGTCAAATTATTATAATTTTAGGACATTCTTACTGAATTCCAATGATTCTACCTAACCTACTATCCAGTCTCTTAATAAACTGACTGTATAGTTCATTAAGCTACAATTATCTTCAATTACTTATGAGGGTAATAGCTTCAGCTTGATTAACAACTTGATTAAATTATTATATCGCTAAATACTGTTAGTATGATAAATACGTACAGTAAATGTACATATCTGGTCGTAACTATATTACGTGAGCACTTTACAAAAGAAATTAAGCTTGCAAATGATCCTAACTTATGAATAATTATAATTGAATCCAGCTAAGACGTACATCATTTTTTATGAACAATTATGTTCACACAATCACCCGATTGATTAGTTTAAACATTAGATGTACGTGTTGATATACGTATACGTATGTACTCAGAGTAAAATAAATTGCATACACTGATGGCAATTTTTTTATTAAGTGTTACATTCTCGCATATATTTTAATTACGAAATACATAGGAAATCAAGGATGTAGAAGTACCTAGATTTAAGAGCGATATTGAATCTTTAAATAAAGTTATGAAGGAAATCCACCAAATAACAACGGAAGACGAAATTCAAAGGACTCAATTCAATGTTGACGAGATTATTGCTTTATTAGCTGACTTAGAACAACGACTACAACAAGGTCTTGAATATTTAGAAGAGCTTGAAAAAGCGATTAAAAATTTTGTAAACATACATGGTATTATCGAAAATATTGTGGAGGAATTTGAACGCAAGATTATCAGTACTAACTTTGTGAAATCATCTACAATTGAGTCTCTTCATCGTGAGATCGACTATTACAAGGTAATGGTAATTAAAAATGAAGAAAAAATTTAGGAATTATCTACAGTAAAATCAAACTACTTTAAACGTTAGTCCATAAAGTTCGTTATAAATAGTGCTTTTTACTTCAATCGAGGAGATAGACTGTTGAAGTAATCTTCAAAAGTAGTTAAGAAAACGTATCTTATCAATGCACAAGAGTGTATGTAATACGCATATACGCGTATAGCACTTACTTTCGATTGATTAATACTTACTATTTAAGCCTTTAAATTTGATATAATTTATAAATTTTCATTTTTGTCGATAGAATCTAGTAAAGAAAATTAATAAACGACAACATGATAAAGAAAAATTCGAATCTTCAGCAAAAAATTTATGCCGCCGACACTTTGTGGCTTATGAGAAGTTGCAAGGAAGCGAAATCGTTAAAGAGATTGCTTGTAGGTGGGATGCATTAACTGAAAGGTCAACAATGCACTTGAATACACTAGAGACTATTTTGAAGGAATTGCTTCATGCAGAAGAATTAATTAGTAAAACTAATGAGTGGATAAATCAGTACGATAAAAGCATAAGTGAGTTAAAATTTGATGCGTCTGAAAAAGATAAGGTTCAAAAACAAGTTTCTCAATTGCAAGTAAGTTACACGATTTATAAATCATTAATAACATAGTAAGTAGCGTTTAGCTTCCATTATTTAGTACTCTATAAACATTCTAAAATTGTTGTATTACATTTTTGACAGGATATACATAAACAAATTAACGCCAAAGAGAGCGATATTAATGAAGTAATTAGTCTTGCAGAGAAAATCAGTGAAATTTGCCCAAATCATGAGCTACTAGAAAATATCAATTTCGAAGTCGACGAGATAAGTCGCCGATGGCATAATCTGCTGGAAAAGGCAGCCTATCGACAGTCACAATTATTAGACTGTTTCTTAACTAGTCAAGAATTAGAAAATACCGTTAAGGAATTCACTCAGTGGTTAAGTCAAGTTGAAAAATACTTCGGTACTAAGCATCCAATCGCTGCATTACCATCAACAGCTGAATTTCATTTAGATGAATTTAAAGTGAGCATATTTTATGGTGATTGAATTGTAGTTTTCTGCTTAGACAAAAATTGTTGTTACATAATGAGTGTTACTGTAAACATAACTCTGCCGAAGTTTAAAAGACGGCTTTAGCATGCTAATCAGAAATTTTGCCAAAGGGGAGATAGCTATACTCTAACTTATCAAATTAAGATTCAGATTTAAAGTAGAGATGAATTGCTTGCGACGTTTTAATAGATTTCTTAGTATTCATGTAACAACTTAATTTTGTTGACCATATACGCGCATATAGGTATTTGTTGAGGAAGAAATTCCGTCTAGAAAAGAGCAATTAGAAACAATTAAGAAAGTTAGTCGTGATTTTGTGTCACGAAGTGAAGCGACTACAGCCCACTTGATTAATGATTTAGTTAGCGAACTAAAGGCATCATGGAACATAATCTCGAATAAAATAACTGCCCGCCAAAAACAATTGAGTGATGAACTTGATGAAGCTCGTAAATTCCAAGACCGTTTGCAAGAGTTTGAGAGTTGGTTGGAAACAGCTGAAAGCAAAATGGATTCGTGGGATTACGTTAGTACTAATAATGATGTCTTAAAGAATCAATTAGAGGACCAAAAGGTAAAAAGATTGTAGTCACGCATAAAATGTAAATAGATTATAATATTATTAATTCGATAATAACTGGTTATGTTTAGGCCTTTAACATGAAACTAGATGAGAAACATGAGGATTTAAATCAAATCTCATCCACTACTCAAGTACTAATGCAGAAATGCAATGAAAGTGATGCCAAACAAATCAAATCCTCTCTGCGTAGCATTAATCAACGCTGGAATAAATTGTTAAGCTGCTGTATAGATAGAGAATACCAAATTAATCAAAACCTTGAAAGTGCAGGTAGTTTCTACAGTGATTGTGCTGATATGCTGAATTGGTTGAAAGAAGCAAATTTCTCAATGCAAGAAGTCAATAATGTTGGTATAGACCCGCAAATTATTCAAGAACAAATTAGTAAACATCAGGTAGGCTCATTAATTAAACTATATAGCGAGGTAGTGGTAGTGTTTATACTGTTTTGTTTGAAATTGAGCATCTACATTTATAGTCCAAAGTATGGAATGTACCACGTAGGTTCATTATCGTATGAGTAACTATTGTCAAATTTATAATATCTTACTATTAATGTCTTTTATTAATGACTTGTATATTTTATGAGCAGCCTATGCTAAAGCTTTCCACCTTAAATGATACTACTGCAATAGTTTACGTCATTCATACGTATTACTTGAATTAAGCAACCAAGTTTTTCATTATTATATTTTAAAATGGAAAGAACTGTAACCTATTTATTTGATATTATGTTACAATAACTGCTTTAGGAATTTCAAAATGAACTAGGATACCGTCGTCCAACTGTTGCCGCCATCATCAGTAAAGGGAAATTATTACGTCATTCTAGTCAGCCTAAGGATATCGCTCTAATTAGCGAATATTTGGCTGATCTTAAGTTGCAGTGGAAACGAGTATGCAATAAAGCTGCATTATGGTCAGTAGACTATTTATCTTGTTATATCGAGGAATTTAATACATGACACATTTAGATATTCGTATTAAAACTAAAGCTAATTGATCAAATCTATTCTACGTCATGCATATTCAATATTAAACTAAGCTACATTTTCATACATTTGACGGTACGTATAGTCTGCGCGTATGTACACATGTACGCCGGGTTATTTTGTTTTTTCATTGGCTGCTAGTAAGGTAGTAAGTAATTTTGGGTATATGAAATGTCCTATCATGCATCGCGTTATTATACAGTATACAGTAGTAGCAAAACATCCTAATAAACTGCATAATGAATATATAATGAATTATCGCTTTTGAACGCTTACATCCGATTTAGGTGTGGGTATTAAATCTTAATTATATTTTCAATAATTAATACTAATTTTAGGCAGGAGGAGTTAGAAGAATGTTTGCTGGCATCTGGAAAATTAACGGCGACTTTATCGGCGTTACTGGAATGGTTAGCAAAAATACAGCCTGAGCTCAGTAGCGACGTACCATACTATGGCGATATCGATACAGTTAAAGAATTATTGGATAATCACAAGGTAAATTATATTTATCTTAATATCGCATAATAACACCTTGCTTTACGTATTTAGGTTAATAAACTTAATTTAAAATGTTATTTCCTGACAATCTTGTAGGTTTTGCAACGCGAATTAGGGAGTAGAACTAAGATTAAAAGCAAAATTAATATGTCAGCGAAATATCTAGCAACTGATACTGAAGATAAAAGTGCCGTTACGGAGAATCTAAAGGAACTCAATCAGACTTGGGATACGATATGTACATTATCCGTGGAAAGACAAGAGAAATTGCAAGATGCTTTATCTTTGGCACAAAAATTTCATATTCAAGTTAGGGATATCGTAAGAAATCTTGGCAGTGCTGACAAAAGGTTAAAGGAGAGCCTGGCAGCGGTAGATGAAAATCATCAATTTAATAGATTGAGCGCCAAATTAAAGGTATTTAAAAATAGTAAAATAGTATCATCCGTGTGTATTCGTTGTCCAATTTTATTAATAGGAAAAATTTTCGGAAGTTTGAACGAAATTGCAATAACATGCTCTCTGAAGTAAATTTAAATCTACCAAATCTAAATATTTATCAATTTAAATCTGCCATTAAGGGGTTCGAGCAAGAATTAGGACGATTACGTCAAAATTTCGATGCTGTTATGAAATTAGGAAATATCATATTGGAAAATTGCCATCACAACGCTGTAGGCTCCGTCAGACATTGGATGAATATAGTTAGAAAATCTTGGAATGATGCCAATGAAAAGCTCAATAGATACAATATAAAGTTGGATGAATTGTCCAATGAAGTGCAAAACGATGAAAAGTTATTAATGGATATTGAAAATTGGATTGCTGAATCTACTGTCAAGATGGAAGAGCCTATCAAAGAAGCTGACTGCGATGTTGAAAAATTAATTGAACAACACAAGGTAAGTTAACTGTAAAAGATAATGCCATTGTAGTTTTTGAATACTTTGAATGTAGTAAAAGAATTAAAGTTATTAATTATTGATATCAAATACGTACGTATGTGTGCTATATTATAAACAATTAATGATATCGTAATTAAAGGGTTAAGCAGTCCTATCAATTATGATCTACTATACCATTACAAATTTGAGGCATCTAGGCATTGCCAATAGGAATCTGATGCTAAGATTTTAATTCCTGTTAATGACATAGCAAGCTTAGCTAGAAAACAGAAGCAAATGCTAGTAACAGTATTTGTACTTTCATATTAGATATCTTACAATGATATATTTGATTTTTGGAAATCTAATTGATTTAAGATGATAGGAATCGATAGCAATATATTCGATATCAGTATTGCTATGCGCTTTCGTCGTATTAATACCGCAATAGCCTTTCAAGCGAATATGTACTGTCGAAAGTATATAATTTTGCGATGTTCCACAATTATTGCCAGACCTAACTTACGCTTGTATTGATTGTAGAACTTATTTTGCTATGGTAGTAAATTTTAAAGCGTAACTTTCAATTGATTACTGACTTTTGTTTGCTTCCGATATTTATAATCTTATTAATACTTATCACGCCTAATACGCTAGATTAAGTTACTGTTGCGAAAGTAATCGATGTATACGTACTATGCAGTACTATATGACTATATTATGATATATGGAATTTTCAATTATTGTAGGCTTTCGAACGTACTATGGCAAATAAATACGGTGTCATTAGAAATACAACTGCATCATTAAATAAGATTCGACGTGGTGCTAGCTTTATACCAATTACGGCAAAAAAAATTAATCATGACTCAAATAACGTGGCTTCTACTCGTCTTAAGAATGTCAACAGCGGATGGAATAATTTAGAAAAATTAGTAGAAAAGAAGGGAATAAAACTGCAAAAGATGCTATATGATCAGGCTTTGGTAAAGATTAGCAAATAGTTCTTTAATGTGATAAATTCTAGTAAATGAGATGTTAGTGTATTACGTATCAACTCTGCACTCAATTTTTTTAAAATTAAAAGGTCTATTTATAAAATATATTGATTATCTCTGTTGAATTCCTTGTACGTTTCTTCTAATTTTTATTTTTGCTGTTTAGCAAAAGATGAAACAAACTTTTGACTGGGATGTATGGAGAAAAGGGGTAATGTATCTTAAATTTTGAACTATCTTTGTTCTACTTAAAATATTCAATTGAAGTATTAATTCTTGATCCATATGACGAATGTGAAGGTTATGAGACACTTTAATGATAAAGTAGCAAAAGTAAACGAATTCCTGCGACCCATTAGCAATAACAACAAAATTTACAGGAATAATTTTGTTAGAGCTTTTATAGACAATGGTAAGTTGGTTACTTTAGACATTGTCATACAGTTTATGAAAATTGAATCAGTTACCATAATAGCAATACCCATTGCAATTGTATAACTTTCATTAACCTAAATTTTGACAGGTTGTAGCACATCAGAGACGGAGATGGAATGTGTTGCCAATCGATTCGATAAGAATGGATTTATAGACACTAAGGAATTTCTTGGTTCCCTTAGGCCGTCAGCGGTAAGTTGTTCATTTGATTTTGGAATGGGAATGTTGGAATTATGGTAGTTAAAAATTTTACCTAAACGCGCTATTAACTAAGTATCTTTGATATAATTAGTTCAAGCAGCCCAAAACTGACGCAGAAAAAATCGATACTGAGGTAAGAAACAATGATGTTATTTATCTTTTACTTTGGTTCGACTCTATGAGTTAGTCAAAATGGGATTGCTATGGTTAGCGTTATACTACAAATTTCTGCCAATACAGACCACGATGACTATGATTCTAGATCATCATGGAATATTTTTCTTGACTTAGCTTACAATTTCCGGTATAAATCTCAAAACTCTAGCAACTGCGTTTAGATATAAATATTATAACGTCTGTAAACTCGTACTTTAACCACCATAGTTTCATCGTTCGGTAAATTGTTTAATGTTGTACGCTAGACACTAATATTGTAATGTGGAGTGCCACTTGTGGAAGTAACTTACATCATTCATAATAGAAAAATCATAATGCTTTTTCCTTTTTAATCCTGTTACCTTCACAGGCTTCTTACTACAAGTAGACGCGTATCGAACTATCGATACGTATGCGTAGATAGTGATTTTTTAACACCATTTTATAGTGATTAATCATTATTATATTCTTTACTAATAGATATTACGACTGGTAGCTGATTGTAAATGTATGAAACCGTTTCGTGTCTCTCGCGCTGGAGAAGGAAAATATAGGGTATACACAGTAGTTTTCAAATTTCGTAGTGTAACTAATTTTAAATGGATTATTTAAAATTTATAAGAAAACAGTAGTAAAAATCTAAATTCGTTACTTAATTAATATCCCTAATGGATAAATTTTTTAAAATGTGCTTTGCTACGTTAGTTTGGTGAATCACAAAAACTCAGGCTTGTCAGAATTTTGCGAAACTCTGTCATGGTCCGTGTTGGAGGTGGTTGGGAAGAATTATCAGTCTTTCTATCTAAAAACGATCCGTGCAGAAGTCAGTAATAACTGAAAACTTAGAAAGAAGTCTTAAAAGTGATAAATTTTTGCTTTTAACGTATTTGATTTGTTTTTAATTAGGTGCTGCGGCGAAGAAAGAATTAAAAGAGAAGTTTATATTAGCAGACGGTGTACACCAGTCGATGCAAGGGTTTAAGACCTCAATGAAGTCGCCTCGAGAAGCGACATCCAAATTTAGGAGATATATTTATACACCAGTAGGTAGCGATGACGACATGTCTGATGCAGGTTCTGAATTTAGCACTCTGACGCAAAGAGCAGAGAGTCAATCTAATTTATCCGATGACGTAAAATCTACTATTAGTTGTGGAAGTCAACAATCGTTAAATAATTCGTTGCATTCAGCAACTAATTCTCCTGCTAGCAAACTTACAGATACCTCTAAAGCATCCAAGATTCCGTATCGCAATAAGAGAACAATGATACCTAAGCCTAACAGTTCTAATCACTGAACAGTGAACACATGACTAAACGTACATACTGTACGTAAGCTATTATCGTACAATTTAAGCTAAGACATATAGCCTGTACGTAAATTAATACTGCACATTTTATAATAGTTTATCCTACATTTCTAAGTAGCTGAATAATGTCCGATGACAAGACCAATGTTTTCGTGCATAATGAGCAGCTTGGCGTCATGTTTATTAAAATATCTTGTCAAATATATTGTACGTACAAATATTCGGAGCACCTTTGGTTTTTATACAGTCTAAAATTGTATACATTCTTCATTCGATTCATGTTAATATGTTCATTCATTTTTGTATATTTAGTATCACAGATGTTTAATATCGAATAATTCTTCACCGACATTAGCCACGTTTTTGATTTAACTTCTTGTTAATAGTTTCAATCATGTTCTCCCGACTTACGTCAACCTGTATTATCATCGTTATAAGAACAAATTATCACCGCTATATGTTATATTTACAACTTAAGTCTATTTCATTTAAATTACAATGAATAAATTGTGGATAAAATCTATAATAGTTCTAAGTGTTGTATTAGTGATCTACTATACCTCTTCACGGGAGTTAGTATCTCTGATTTTTACGATACCCTGTTGTAATTCACTCTCTCCAATAATGATTACAAGTGGGATATCGTTAACTTCACAGTGTTGTAACTGATTTAATAGCTTAGGATTTTCGGAGTATGCAGTTTCGGCCTATTTTAAATTATGTCGAATTGAAATTTTGTCTTTTCGACTAACATAAACCATTTAAAGTTGGCTATAACTGTCATTAGACGGTATATACGAACCCCAATTCCAGCATCCCATAAGTTACTGCATAATGCAATGCGATGTTTGGACAAGCCTTTTTGTGCTGAGGCAACATATACATCAGTTGCTGTAGTTCTTACATTTCCCTAATAATCATATCATAGTCCATTTAATACGATATCAAGTTAATCGAATCTACGAAATGACTAGAATTCGTTAATCTAACGTACTTTAGCTTTCGCTTCCAATATAGAAAAAAGTCTCTCAATTCCAATGCTGACTCCTACACATGGAATCTGAAATATTACAAAATGTTGTTAGCATCTAATAGTTTTACGTGTGATTGATTATATTGATTATAAAAGTTGACAATTTTTAATACTACGTACTTGCTTTCCTTTCGGATGAAACATTCCTACTAAATTATCGTATCGGCCCCCACCAGCAACGGAGCCGACTCCTACCTTGTCATCTATACCCGTATTCGTATGTTATATTATTATGAAATAATCAGTATGATAATTGATGGCAATAAAAATGATACCTGTAAGAACAGCTTCATAAATTACACCAGTATAGTAATCAAGGCCACGAGCCAAGCTAAGATCGAATAAGATCTTCAAGGTAGAAAAGATCCAGGGTTACCGAATTGTCATGGTATGAATGTGATAATTGTATTTAATAGTACTGTATACGTATAAAATGTACCTTGTCTGTGACATTATATTCATGGCATAACTCTATGATTGCTCTCATTTCATTTACACCAACTAATAAGCTGTTGTTTCCAGTTTCTTTTACTACACCTTCCAAATGACTTATCAAATCGAGTCCGCCTTTAATTTAAATCAATAATGCTTTCATCTTTAAGCTGTACCATACACTTGGCAAGTTGTAGGGTTTTCACCTTAATACTATGCAGGCAAGCTAACAGCATTGCTCTTACCCTTTAACTTTACAAAGTCACCGATACTATCGGCAACTTTTCCGTCAAGGCCTTTTTCGTCAGTCATTTCTTTACGTACTTCTTCCCATGACATCTATCGCGCGATAGAATGTTGGCTTTACTGATATTGAAATCAAATTAAAAAAGGAGAAAAAACTAGAGTAGCACCTTATCAAGTTTATCAACAGCAGAGGAAATTTCTCGAAATTTTTCTGTCGGAACTCCGGATATTTCAAACATACCATCAAGGATCTTTCTATTATTGATCTAAGTAAAGATATTTTAACATAAAAGCAATAAATACCATAGATCAGCGAACCGTGTAGTCGATTTTTTAATAAAATCAACTTAAGCAAATCATAATTCACCTTGATTATGAACGAACCAACATCGACTGCAGAAAGAATCTCTGAAACGATCCTTATACATTCGGCATCGGCAATACGTGAATCGTAGCCGGCAACATCATAATCCTGTATTGGTTACATAAAAATTGCAATTATTACTAATACATAAAACAAAAACAAAGTAGAAAAGTCAGCTATTTTTATTACTTACACACTGAAAAAACTCTCGATATCTACCCCGAGTGATGGAAGGGTTATCACGGCGATATACTGGAGCAATATGATACCGTTTAATTTTTTGAATTTTGTTCATGGCCAGATAACGCGCAAATGGTACCTAATCATAATATGAGCTCAATATTATCTAGCTATTTATTGCAAAATTTTAAAATTTCATCATAATCAAATACTAAATATAGAGAGAAGATACCGTTAAATCGTAACGAAGTGAGCATAATTCTCCACCTTGATCGCTTAAATCGTAGATCAATTTAGAGTCTTCACCGTATTTACCAGTTAAAACTTCCTGTATTAATAAAACGTTAAATGACATTTAATAAAGAAAGTAAACAGGAACATATATAGTGGGAACAATTCGCTGTATAGCACTTACAATTCTTACAATTAGTATACATGGAAGGATAAGTATAGAAAATTTTTATGCCTAGAGCAGATAATACAATGAATATAACCTTTAACTCAAACAAGGGCGTAGAAATAGTTTCAGCTCCATGTCTTTCAAAACATTTCTCGATAGTTCGAAATAATACTTTTCTAATAGCCATCTGTTTGGGTGAGAAATCCCGAGTACCCTAAGAGCATTAGCAACCCAGTTCATTACTTTTTTTATACAGTAACTTCTTTTGTCGAATTTATAATATTGTATGCTTACCTTTGGCGTTTTTAGAGCAATTTTATGCGCATCTTTACTATTAAGCTTGAGTTGGTTCAGTTCAGCTTCTAAAGTGGCTAACTATAAAACAGATAAATTGATACCATATATTACATATTAAAGCCTTAAAGCAGACGCAAAAAACAGTTTGATGGTTATTTACCACTGGTCTAGCCATTATAGTTCAATAGTAATAAATCAACTACTGAAATTCTTCACGATTGTTACGTTTAGATACACGTGTGATAATACATGTAGTCATTTCATTTATTTGACTGTAAGTCATTTCCTTAATAATTATGCATATCCTAATTTGAGGGCGTTTTGTCATTCAATTGGATTAAGCATTCTATGTTTAGGTAAACTATTGGCCTATTGCTTCATCATTTGTAGCTATAGCAGCGTGCTAACTGTAAAATTTAGATGTAATCCATAACATGGTACAATATATTTTCATACATATTGGTACAGTATATTTACTATCCTGGCTGAGACAGATTAACGATAGCTAGTAGTACTCGCTCGCAGTCTCGTGCTAGGGCATGGGCTACTAAATGTTTCCCGGGGACATTTAGTAGTCCATTGCCAGGGTGATTCATTTTCGACTGTCACCGAACAAACTGTATTGATCAAAATAGTAGTATTCACCTCTGGTACTACATAGTGAGTGACTAGGATATTTAGTAGGGCTTAGGATAACAATCAATCATGATGTAAAAGATAGTATTTCAAATTTTCTATTTCGAATTGCAATTAGAGGTTTACCAGTAAGCGTTAATAATATCGCATAAAGTTCGCTAGCAACTGCAATAATGTGCTTTCACATAGCATAAAGTATAATGCGACACTTTTTCAAAGAACGTACCTTTACATGACGTGTATACATCGATGCTAAAGAAACTGAGTTGCATGATCTTGCAATGAATCTTAGTTTACTAAACATGTCTGCTGAAGAATGATATATTTATTTGCAATATATATATATAAAATATTATATTTTATCTGGACAGATCAAGAAAACAATCCTGAAATTTATGCTACTTCGGTAATCCGGTATTTAGTGCTATCCTTTCTACTATATCGTCTATACATATACATTATTGACTATTTTATCAATCGGTGAATTTTATTCAAGGATAATCATAACTTTGGCCCTAACCTCCTCTTTCTGTTTCAGCTTTAATTCTTTTAATTTTTCCTCTTTTTCTCGAATTGCTGCCATGATTTTACACCCTTCCGGAAAGGTTGAGTGATAGAAATACGGACACTCTCCAGTACTGGAATGCATCAAGTGAGTACAGTGCAAAGCTATCTTGATATACTGTACAGTACATTACAGTACTGTACTGTACAGTACACTACAATACAGTACTGGACAGAATCCCGCCATAAACGTACTGTACGGTACAGTCTACAGTGCACAGTACAGCCCATTAAGGTACAGTACGTACTGTAAAAAGAGTGCTAACTTACCATACTCAGAATGGTACAACAGCCTGAATTTAGGGCAAGGAAGGCAAACTAGCACACACTACTGAAATTATCCAATACTGTTTTGTACTGTACATTTACAGTCATGGTACACGTGGGTCGAGTTTTATTCAACCCACTCCAGGAATGAAGAATACGCATGGACTACTAGAAGAAGATTTACTAGAAGATTTTCTTTCTTCTAGTAGTCCATGGCTGATCTCAGTATCGCAATGACTCGCTTCCGTTATGTTTTCAAGTCTAAATGTTGCTGGCACTCGTACTGGTCACGATATATAAAATAGATAAAGAAACACTCTGAGTATACGTTTCTCGAAACCCATAGGGTTCATTTTAAAATTGGAAAAATTTAAAGTGACTTCAACACAGGCAGTATTGTGCTATACTTCTCTTCTTTTTAGCGGTCGTTGCTGGACATACAGTACTGTACTTATTCAATCAGTGGTCCGTGACATACTGTAACTCAGTATCTTAGTTCTTAACAGTATTTTAGAATTGAGATTTTGAGGATTTGGAATGGGAAAAAATTGTGTGGTAGTCCCTGACAGGAAGAGTGTACGTACACTCAGTCACTCTCAGTGTACCGGTGGGTAAACAAACACAGGACAACAGTACTGTACAGTGTACACCTCTACAAGTTTGTCCCCTATTGTAATGTACTGTACCATACCGTACCGTTTCATTCCGCGCCGTACCGTACCATACCGTACACGGACAGTACGGTCACTACAGTGCTTCTCTTCTCTTTACCGTACAGTACTGTACGTACAGTACAGGACGCAAGATAGTACTGTACCAGTTGCGGTAGCACTACAGTACTGTGTATGAATGCGAGTACTGTACTGTAGGGTTTAACAATACAAACGGTTACTGGAAAGTTGGAGATAGAAAAGAAAGAAATCAATATTGAGGAATAATTTATCAACATTCAACTGGGTCCATTATTAACAAATAGAGCTTTGCAACATCTCATTTCATGATATCAAAGATAGCCTGAACACGGTAAAGTATAAGAACATTTGGTTAGTTCTTAACCATAGAGTACGATGCTTGATTAAAATGTTCTTGAACGATGCAAAAGTCACATCACTCTGTGTGTCTTAAGGCGGGTTTACTAATCTTTCCATCATGGTAAAATAGAGGTAGCAATCGAATAGAATAGTAAGTCATGGATGATGCAAAAGACCGCGTACAAGAATTTATAATATCTGTAACAATAGTGCTTGTAGGCTAGCAATCGAATAGATTAAATAGAAAATACAATCCGTTGATTTTAGGATTACTGTTTTAACTCAAAGCAAAGAAGTCATAGATGTGTCTCTCTCTTTTTAGGTCTCTATATACACAGTAGTACAGTACTCGTAACTATTTCTACTGCATACAGTAAAGTAATGCAACCGACAGTGCAACAGTCATTAGTAAATGAAGCCATCTAGTTCTTGAAACTAATGGTCAACCTGAATATTCTCATTCACTCATGTCCCCTGTTAAACTGTCATAATGGTTTCTTGACTAATTCGTAAAATACGACATTAAAACGACTCATGGTATACTAGACTCAACAATCAACATTACCAAGAATCATTTTTGATATTGTGGTAGTATTTTTTTATTGATCTTTAAATTTCTGTTATGTATCATTCGATAACAACAGAGAAGATCCTACGCACACTACGTAGTCCTAAATCATAACTCGATTTGCTTATGATTGCTATTAGCAAATAGGAGTAGAAATTCTTTACCGTACGACTATAATCGTATGTTGTCATTGTACGCATACATATACACTTCCTAAACTCGAAGCAACTATTACTAATATTTTGCTCTATCCTCCCCCCGTTTTTCTACGCCGACGATAGCTTGTCTCAATCACGATTGCGTGACCTGTGTATAACGGACAGAGCTATTTGTCAAACTTTACCAAACATCGAATATTCTTAATAACTTGCTTTTTGAACTGCATCTGATGCCAAATGGACTGTGTTTATGTGATAGAACAGTATTCAAGTAGTAATGCTTTTAATGCGACTCCTATTACTATACTGTACGTCCTACGTAGATTGTTGGCAATAATGTTAGCTTTCAATACTATCACTGTTGACCCTTTTAATTGTATTGATGTAACGTTATAATGTATTATTTGTACCGCTAGTCATATTTACCAGCATTTGTAACCTTTGGAATTGGGATAAGCAACAATTCAAAATAAAGTCGATATCATCGGGCAGCTTCAAAGTGACACCAGCCCTCTTATTTTTATAGTAGTTAAAATATCAAGTTATAAATAAATGGCTCTATTACAGTTTAAGCCGCATAATACAGTATTAAGTTAACTAAATTGCACCAGAATTTTGTAAACCGCCATTTTCCAACTCCAAATAGGATTGATGACGGTACCTGTCCAGTATTTAATAAATAAAGTATAAAACGCTATCCATACATTTGCTGATGAAGTATTGATCATTACAGTAATACACTTCTAGCCAAAATTTATTATGTCAAAATTGTATCTTAATTTGTATATTTCTGATGGCATATCTCGAGCTAGTAGTGATATACAAGTATATGCTTACAGTATGCTGATTTTCCGTATTATAGACGGTTAAAGCAAGGCGCGCTTAGGAAAAAACATGAGTGAACAATACAATCAGGTATGTAAGATTGTAATCAAGATAAAGTTCTTTTACGAGAGATCCCTAGCGAAATTGAAAGAGGGATCTTTCACGAAATGTAAAAGTATTACTTTCTGTAATATTTAGAACTGTTAAGACTACTGTGTACAACAGGAAATCTATATCTTAAAGAATTCCGTTTAATTGACAACAGTCGAGTTTTTAAATCAGTCCAGATCCCTTCTCATCATCGATTTCGTAGTAAATCCTCTCACTTATTTATAGTACCTCTTGATGGTATATGCAGTTCTTGCACTATTTAAGCATATATGCCGTTCTTATAGTATTTGGCCATTAAATCGAATATTGGTAAAATGATATTCCTGTAGCTTTGATAATACGGTATTTTTCTTACCTTGGTTTGATTGAAATCCTTATGCGTATATCTACTGTAGATATACTTTAGAAGCATAATTATAATGCATACAGCAGTTCAGTTGAACGATGTTTATTTAGTGTCAATGTATCCTTTGTACCTACATCGAACGATTTAACTTTTGCCTGTTGAACCATTTACATTAGACCGATGCACAGCAAACACTAAACAATTTTTGGCAGCGGCAGCAACAAGAAATTCGAAATATGGTAAGTATCTTGCATGCTGAAAACTTGTTATTGTGTCTTAGTATAATATAAATAAAAACGATATGTACTATATTAACATTAGCCTATCGCCTAATAAAACCTTCCCTATCAAGCATCAAAAGCTACACCCGTTAGCCAATGTTAAAGTACCTATTCCCTTTTTTACAGTAACCTTACAATATAAGAGATATACGCGTATACTGTAATCATAAATATTCACAATAAATTTTTACATTGCGCCTGTAGTTAAAAGTTATTGCATCGTTGCCTTTTAAATAAATCTGGCCAGGTGCATATTATAATAGTAGATAGAATATTTAGATACACTTATGCAATGTTTAGGGGCCGGTCGAATTTAAGGTGCAAGAGCTGCCTTTGGCTCGAATTAAGAAAATTATGAAGCAGGATGAAGATGTCAAGGTTAACATGATAAAATTTCCTTTGCAAGTATTTTTATATTTAGAATTAATCTAGATATCGTAAGATAGCTATATCCATTATTGCTCTAATGGGCTTCTTTTATTCAATTTAATAGATGATTAGTGCTGAGGTAAGGTCAATAACATGGATTAAGTACCATCCCTAGAATTATGTGGACGACCATTGGCACTTGAAGTGTTTGATAACTAATGTTTGTCTTATAATTATGTACTAATTGGATAGAACTCGTATTAACGCTATCCATTACGAAGCAATCTGTATCATAGTGCAACAATGAGTTGCTTTGCTAACTCAATTAGTAAACGTACTCTAAGGTTCTAACGGCTATTTTAGGCTCCTGTACTGTTCGCAAAAGCTGCACAAATGTTCGTCAGTGAGCTAACACTGAGGGCTTGGGTACATACTGAAGATAACAAAAGAAGGACATTACAGGTATCCATTAGACTGTTTTTTCTTTGTGGTATAACTATAAATCAAAAAAATTTAATATGATTTAAGGAATTAGTAATTATTTAGATCTGTCTTAACCTTAGCTATCAATTTAAATCATTTTGTGTTAATGCTGCATCGATAGTATTATAATACCCGGTACTATTTTATCCACTTCTCGTTATTAACATATTTGTGCTATAATTCGTGACTTATTAGAAAAATGACATTGCAATGGCTATTACAAAATTCGATCAGTTTGATTTTCTTATTGACATCGTTCCTCGCGACGAGTTAAAAACTCCAAAACGACAGGTAGGTAAACGCTGATCATGTATGAGATAACATTTTACGTTCGATTATTTAGCTTAAATTTTTATACCTGCACGCTAGGAGGAAATTAGGCAACCTATGATGGCTGCGGATCAGGTTCAGTACTATTTCCAGTTAGCTCAATCTCATGCTGTACAAATGCAACAACAACAACAACAACAAATCCAACAACAGCAACCACAGCAATCGCAGCAGCCGCATCCACAGGCTCAACAGCACCTTTCATCTCAATCGAACCAACAGCATGTTGTTAGCATACCAACGACTTTGCATAATACACTGCAGTCCGTTACTCCTAATATGCCCATGGTATAAACGCAATATAAATATAATATTTAACTTTCTGTCATCATATGATAACGTTAAAAACTGTTATACTAGGGTATTCCACAGGGTAATAATCAAATGCATGAGCAAGGCGAAATTCAATATCAGGTGATGATATGTAAAAGTATTTTCAAAGTCATTATACTGTATTAGTTGAATACTGCGGTAGTATCGTTAACAAGTAGATTTTGTTGGGAGTCTTTTCAATGATGCCACTCATATTTGATATACAGGTTCATCCTACTATGTCACAAATGCCTTACCTTAGGGTACAGTCTGTACCAATGCAGCACGGCCAACATCAGCCTCAACAACAACAACAGCAACAACAACAACAACAACAACAACAACAACAACAGCAGCAGCAGGCGCAACAACAGTCTCAGGCTCAGCAACCTGCTGAATTTAGTTATACTTCACAGGTTAATATTATAATCAATAAAGACTTCCAAGTGTAAATTTTTGTTGGTAATGTTTGCTAAATAATGAAAGGTACAACTGAATAATTACGGTAATAATTTCTCTATTTGTTACAACCTAGCCAATTTATCAAATTCAGCCACAACAGCAACAACAAGCTCTATTCCATCAACCAAATCCGAACGAACATCAAGAAATTACTCATCCTCAGGAGTAGTGATGGACATTTACGTAGCACTACAGTAATGGATCGATCCGGTCAGACACCACTATTTTGATGTAATCTAGTTAAAAATTTCGAAATGTAATTTCTCACGAGTGAATTACCATTGTCATCATCATCGTACATGTTTAATAATGTAATTGTAATAGTATAATGTTAAGTTCAAATTATTAAAGGAATTTTTACAGCGTAGATAATTTATTATATGCTATCTCACAACCAAGTTGATCTTGTATAGTTATTTTTAGCGAATTCGTATTGCTAACTGATTGCTATTTGTTGAGTACTCACGACATAGTTGTTATATGCTCGTAAGTCTAGCTATGCACTTGCTAACGAATGTATATTAGCAAGATATAAAATAATGTTCAAGCCGTACACTAATGGTCCACAACACTGTAAGCTTTTCATTAACTATATATTTGTCAAATAAATACTGTATCAGTGTAATGAAATTGTATAATCATTTATTTAAAACTTGCGTGTAATCGAGGTTACATCTCTGTTATTGCGATAGTTTACTTAAATTACTTTTTAAGACTGGCACAGTAGTTGTGATTAAACTACCTTGTATTTACCGCCACTACATCATATAGAACCAGACTGTATAAGAGAAGTTGACAGAGTATTATTAGCTTAATTAATTATTATAAGTAACCAGTATACGAATGCAGTAGTATTGGTATAAGTTTTACTATGTAAAATAGCCGAGAGCACTACTGTATTAGTGAATGGTTAGGCTTTTCAGGGTTGCTTCATAGGAAACATCATCCGAGGTATAATGATGCATAGATTAACAGAATAAAGCTAATAGACAACAATATGCATACAATCTTAATAAAATTATGATACGTTTTAATATAAATCATAGGTATATTGTATGATACAATGTAGTGTTAGTAAGCTTTGCAATGAGAAATTGTTCATCATTACCGGTACTGTGTATTGATTTTTGTAAGATATGACAGAATTACCATATGACACCCTACATAGTTCACACGGTAACCTTATTAAGTTAAGATAATACCAAAAATATTTATAGCATGTTTCTTGATATAAAATTGAATAGGCAAAACATTAGAATCGATATTAATGATTAGCCTAGAATAATCATATATTATTAAAATGGCTATACAGTAAGCTGTATGCTGCGCTGTACAATATAAATACTTGTATCATCAATATATTGTTGCTTAATGGTAGATTTAAGCGTCCTTTACAAATTATTCATTGTTACTGTTGCATGAGCAACTTTTTTTGCTAAATGATATCATCCGACCAAGGATCAGAAATACCATTAAATTCGCTATCAAGATTTATATCGTTAGAAGTGCTCTTTCGCTTACTGGAAGTATCAGATCCTTGAGCAGGTTTATTTCGCGCATCAACAGTATTACTATCGGTACCTTTTCTTAAGCCTAATATCTTTACGTAATTGTAAGGGACTATCCCAATGTTTTCTCCATCCAAGGTAGCCAGCAGCCAACCCTTAATTCGAGGTTGACGATCCTTAGGTGCTATACGTAAGGTATCACCACGACGGAAAGAAATCTCTCGTTGATTTTCACTTTTAAAGTCGTGCTCAGCTCGCGCTATTAGATGATCTGTTTGGCCTGTAGCCCATGATTTACGTGATTTTCCATTACTTGATTCTAATCCCTTTATAATTTTCCAAATTAGCCATGGACCACCAATTGCTACTACTGCAAAGAGGCCGAGGGGCCATGAGATTGGTCCATCATTCTGTGAAGGCTTTCCTAATGTTTCACCCAAATTTTCGGCCTGATTCCAAGCTTGCTCGTCTAGATTATTGCGTCTAATTCGCAATAGTACTAACAATTTGTTATAGATGTAACGTAAGGCACGTATAAGGGAAAAAGTGGAGAGAATAGCTGAAAAGTGATCACGTAAACGATTAAAATTTTCGGCTACACCTAAAACAGCTCTAAACGAACTATGCACAGCATGAAATGTCGATTCTAACATCATAGTAACAGATCCGAATGCCTGAACAATTGATTCGATCGCTTGAAATGCGGCACGGCTGTTGTCTTCTGCTCTATTTAAGAAATCACTTCCATCGCCCTCTAAACCTTGACGATCGTACATACCATATCCTCCTCCATAACTGCTGCCATAACCACCCATACTGCTGGACATACCGTAACCTCCATAACCACCCAAGCCACCATAGCCGCCACCCAAGCCACCATAACCGCCACCTAAGCCACCATAGCCGGTGCCATAACCGCTACGATAGCCACCATAAAGAGAATTTCCGTAGCCGTACGTTGATGATAATGATGATGTATTATTATAAGATCTTGGTCTTGGAGGTATTGTAGGTTTACTGTCGACCTGTAAAGAACTTCCGAAGTTCGGTTCAGAAGCTGATGGGCCAATGGTTGCAATTCGTGAATTACTATCGTTGGCAATTTCGTTAACATTGTCTGAGCCGCGTTCCCATGGCTTAAGTGGTGATGCCATGATATGATTATATCATCAATCTCCAATATTAATTGTATAGAATTACACTTACTCTTCAAGGTTTCAAGTACAGAATGTAATATAACGGAAGGAATAAAATCAAAATGACCACAAGTAGAGTGTAATCCAAAGTTCGATCAGCGGGATATAACGATGATGACACAAGGCAATGATATCCGTATAGAATAACCCTGCCTGCTGGCATCGTCAATACTGTCTACAGTACTAGCAAATAGACAGTACTGTACACCCTACTATGCTAGTCCAGCAGGTCATGACTGAGTCGCTGAGTCTACTGTATACAGTGTACAGTGCAGACGTACAGTACAGTAAAGTACTGTACACTGTACGGTACCCATCAAGGACGCTACAGTACAGTACTGTATAGTGTACAGTACTGTAAGATTGCAAAGGTCGCGATGTTACCAATCAGGAGACAGGTTACTGTCTCGCTGACACAATTTTTTTTCTTATCGAACCCTCGCTTGTGATACCATACTTGGTATCTTGTACTGTACACTGTACAATTATACTGTACTGGTAGTTTACAACAGGCCCTGCTTTCTTTACAAGAATCACTTGCAGTAATCCATGCAATGATCCAGGCAAATCAAGAAATTTGTTCTTTCTTTCGAGCGATTCCAATCATTGGCATGAGTGCACAGCGCTACACCATGCACTATACCAGTGCTACGCCCTCTCTGCTGTACTGTGCACTACATTAAAATACTGTAGAGATGGATCCTTTTTCGTGTTCCAGTGGACGATTCTCCTGTGGTTTAAACTTACTTCTTTGTCTCATTATACAGTGCAGGACCTAGAGGGCTGACGGTAGACCATAAAGGTATTGAACCGGACCAAACCACTCAGGTCTAGACTGACCCATGGTTTTGTTGTACTGTACTGTACACTATTACAGTACTATACACTGTACAATACACTGTAAAGTACTGTACAAGTGTACGTGGTGGAAACCGGTGTGAACGGTAAAAACCGAACGCAGATACTATTAATACTGCAGCAGTATGCATGCAATCTTTTAGCACTGCAGCTACTGTCTCATCCAAAAGTAAATACTTCATGCTACCAACGTACAGTACTACAAATACTAATAAAATTGTGCCTCACAACACTAAAAATACAGTCAACGAAAGATAAATCAATCCAATAGGGAGATGATGATAGCGATTGATATGAGTTCGACTTCACGCATACTGTATTCACTAATAAGGCTTGTATAAGAGTGCAATATTTTATACAACATTTTTATTGTTTTCAACGTTAGTAACGTAGTGACCACAGCAAGCAAACTGAGCAGTGTTTTACATGGTAATAGAATTCTAAGTCTGTAATCTAAAAAGTTGTAATAAAATTTTAGTTGATCATTAAGTGGTTATTATCATCATCAAGGAAGTTAAAATATTTGTTAATATAACAATCATATTAGGCCCCATTTACTCTGCATTACAGCAATTACCTTTACTTTTTAAAACTGATTATAATTGATTTACATATCTAAATGCATCCATTTTATATCCTTATCTATGCCGTTCAAACTAACTGTATTGCAGAAACTTAAGAGACTAGTCAACTTATTATTATTAATAATAATAATTGTTAGCTTAGTAGGCTGGTAAAATGAGATATGATACGAACCACGATAAGGCAAATCGTCGTTGTACTTAAATATTGGTACATTGAAAAGCTGCGAAACGACGCAGTAGATCTCATCGCATTGGTGTATCGCCTCTGCGTGTGCTCGAAACAAGTACAGTATATATTTTACATAATTAAAGTAAACCGCCACCATGACAATATAATTTAAGACAAATACTAGATCAATCACTGATCAACAATTTCCACGTGCATTAAGACTTACAGCTTCATTCGCAAATAAAAATACACTACAATGCAGATTTACTTCTACAATAAAACACATGCACCCTTATTTTTCTTTGACTGGGATTTACGCTTGTTTGCATCAAGTTGTATTACTCCTTCATCATTTCCTTTGCTATTACCTTTACTTTTAGCTTTCTCATTAGTCGATGCCACAGCATTAAACATATCTATACAATAGATTGTATATAAAAGTAATACCTTACTAAGGCTGTTCATTCATTTTTCGTATTGGCGATCGTTTTATGGAGTCATTAAAAGAGATCTATCCATAACTATATTACAGTAATTATTTTCATATTTACCCAGATTGTTTCCTATTTGTTGACCTACTTCTTCCCCACTCTTTTCAATCAACTTTAAATATTTGGTAGCCAAGTATTTAAATACTATTTAATACAAGCAAGCAATTTATATGATGATTAGATTTCAAATGACATTCAGGCAATATTATTTAAAATAGCGTCGTGTTAACTGAGTTACAATTATTAGTCAATTTTGGTGTACTTCATGCATAAAGAAAAAAACAATAAGCTACTGTTATCTGATAGTTACCATCATCAACTTTCACATTATCTTTAACTGAAGTTCGATAAAATCGAAGGTGCAACTTTTTTGCGAGTTTTTCTGTCTCTTCACTAAAGGCATAAAAGAAGCACAAATAACCGGCTGTCACTAGGATATATGTATATCGTTAACAAGACAAATTGGAATCACAATGATTAGTTAAAATGAGATTCAAAGATAAGGGTAAAATCTATGTTGACAATAACCTGTCCATTTTTGCGTCGTCAATTAAGTCAATCTTATTCTGCACTAATACCATAGGAATAGATCCTACTTCGGCCTCAACCTAAAATTTATATTGTATTAATCTCTAGTATTCATTTAAATTAATTATCATTGTTAACATTTCTACCTTTCTTTTCCAGCTTTCAATAGCTTCGAACGAATCTCTATCCGTAGTAGAAAAAGCCAGTACACACGCTTGTGCACCTAACAAATTTAAAGCATAAGTCAAAGTTGTACATTTCAAATTCATAAAAGATTTTGAATTAGCCTTAAACACACTGTGCATTCTGTATAGTAATAATAAACTCTAAATCAGCAATAACGACATATGTTGGCATTACACTGATTTATTTCCGCTCTAGTTTCAAATACTGAATCGTGTTAAATCAATTAATTAGAATTTCCTACGGCCTATAATTATGAAATTATAGACTTTAAAAACGCAGTCAATATCAATCAAATCGAGTTGGTACCTCTGTAATAGGATTTCGTTATGGCATCGAATTCTTCCTGACCAGCTGTATCCCACAGCATTAGTCTAATATCTTTACTATCAATGCTATTATATAAAAAATCATATCAGTATTTAACGCAGATAAAATTTACCGTAATAATACCTATCATATCTTAGCGGTAAACTGGTACTATAATTTAATTCATTAAATAGGTAGTATGATCGTATTCCAATATTGTAAATGTGTCAAACAGTTGAAATAAATAATTCTATATAACGGAAAGCGCAATTGCTATATTTCATGGACTAAATTAATGTACAGCATAGCGCATAATACACTGTATAAACATAAAAGAACTATAAAATTTTCATCTTAATTGTTACGCAATGATATTCTCGATGATGACGGTATCACCTTAACTTGGATCAATGATATATAGCAATAATTGAGTATAAACAAAATTCATTTACTAAGAACTATGATTTATTTTTTATAACATTAAGGTATATTAGTATCTTTCTCTTACAATCTTGTTATTGATTTTTTATAATAGAATTTTTGCGTAAACTATCTCCGCACTAGGGAATAAAATGTTTAGACTTAGTTGGTAAGGGTGGTTGAAACCAAGAAAGACGTAATGTCCCTAAAATTATCGCTATCACTTGATGAGTCTTTAGTACTTATCTGTGTGATTCGGATTATCGAACCTTTTATTGACGAATATTTATGAATTACGGAATATGAGATAACAAGTTTGATATGACGATTGTATGAACTGATAGCTAAGAGAAATCAGTCGTTGTAGCGACCTACGCTAAGGATTAGAGATGTAAACCTTGCTACAGGTCATGGCAGTTTGACTTAGAAGGTAATTATCGCTAACTTTCATTCAGTAGTAATTTACGACTTGTAATTAGGAAAGAGGATTACACTACAGCATTTTTCAATTAAAAGATACTGATATCCTGAAATTATTGTTATGAAATGAAATTATGGTATTACTTAAAGTGCCAGTGTTGCAAACTAAACTAGTATTAACAGTTTCTCTACATACATACGATTTTTGTATAGGTTATCTAACCTGATTTGTCTCTCTAAAAAGTCAACACCAATCGTTTTCTTATAATCCTTAGTAAAAATCCCTTTGCAGTAACGCTGGATCATACTGGACTTTCCAACAGCGCCATTACCGACCACGACGACTTTGATTGCGATTTCTATGTCTTCTTCGATCATTTTTTTCTTAGCTTATATTGATCTAAGTGCGAAGATGTATCCTTACTTAAGAATCGCTTTAGAGACTTTATGATCCTCCACTATGAAGTTGTCTACTACTGTAATGAATACAACTGATTAGAAATAGAACATAAGAGGCTAAGATTATACAATTTTGTAAGTAAAAGCGAAAGATTTCAATAAATAGCATAAATACAACTTCATTATACGCGTAGTATGCCGCATGTTAATATACACACTAATGAAGAATCACGCTTAATGACATTGATATGATACTCTTCTTTTGTATTAAGAACTAAAGAAGCCCTGTTTCAGAAACTGTCAAATTAACAGTTTCTACGCAATAAACTTTATGTTTCGATTATCATATCTTGGAATGAACATTTTAAAATTGTATTGATTACTTTAATATACACAATTATAGCATGATATCAATAATCCCATTCAACAAAGATAAACGGTTAAATTAACAGTTCTAGTTTAGCTATCCTAATTCTTAAAAATGATGCGTAAGAACTACTATTCTAAAATGAGGGAAACAACGACGAGTGATCGTAATCAAAATGATTGCGGTAAGGTTTGAAATGACAATCTAGATATGTAAAAAATATAACCTTAAATTGACTAAGGCTCTTTTAAGTTACGAATGCAGACGTCTTCTTTTAGAAATTTATTCAATTTTACCTGTTAGTGAATATATGCGATCGTCGATAGATTGGCACCGTAAGCCACAACAGCAGTCGGTACTGACACTGAGTACCTTAAAGGTTAATGTATAGGCGGAGGCTATGCTACGATCTGCTATGTTGCAGCAGATAGATGATCATCATATTTAATAATTCTTTTTATGTAGCAGTACCGTAATATATTATACAAGGTGTATCTTTCTATACAGTAGATACCATTGTACTCAGGTCTATATTGTAGTGTAAATTTTATTTACTAGTCGAGTATTTAGTTCAACGTAGGTTCAGTATGGTGACTACTGACTGATTCATACATACCGTAGGGAACATGCACACTATGCTACACGGTCATTATATCCGTAATATATGGTCAATCACTGTACATTTGGACCGGAATACTATACACGGTTATTATATTTATTTATAATATACAGTCAATTGCTGTGCATTTGAATCAGGATACCATCATATACAATATATTACGTACATACTTTATATGATGTTTTACTCAAAGACGTTAAAGTGTCCCTTGTTTTTTATTCGTAATTGCAATATAATGCGTCGCTAAGTTGATTATCTTATGATTGACCAAAAGATCACTTAGTGTTTATGAAAGAGTAGGATATTATTTATAGTACTTTGATAAAGCTACTGGTCGTTGATAGCCTTGCAAATCCTGAAATATCGCTGGTATACGTACCTGTCTTTAATTAATTAATTAATTAATAACTATTTATATTATTAGTTATCTACTCTAGTTACTAACAGTCACGGACAGTCCCCATGCAGTACGGTGAAGTAACGGGGAGAGTGCAGCACATGTTGCTAAGTTACTGCAGGATCGTAACCATGACTGTACGCCACCCAACTCCACCCATTCAATCAGTCAACGATACTAGGAGCTTCTATGATCAGACACTTCTTGCATACAGTACAGTGCAGTACTGTGCCGTACTAATCGCGTTATAACCGTGACATAACCTGGTAGAGATCTTCATGGTCTGGTCAGACCTCCTGGTTAGACCTTTGACCAGACCAGACCATTTACATTGCCAAGGTTATTTTCTGTTCAGATATTTAAAATGGAAAACTGTAACTAAAACTGACGTAAAATATAAGTATTTTATACCAGCGTATAGCATTTGAGCCAAATTTTTGACATGTATCAATGGAATTACATTTTAAGTAATATCCATGCCAAAATATCAATCTAAAGATAGAATTGGCTACAATACAAAGTAAAATTAGTGATCATGCCTGATCGTGTATAGTACTGTAGAAAAATACTGTAAAATGGCGATTTCTCTCGATCTGAAGTACTGTACTCACACCAAACGAATTTACTTCAATGTTTGTTCATTTGTTCTCATAAATTAACGTTACAATCATATTCACTAAACTCTACAGTGGCGATATATGAAATAGGATATAACATTAAGCAAATATGTGCATCTACGTATTTTGTGATCAAAATATCTAAAAAGTATATGATCCAAATACTATACTGTAGATAAGAATAGTGACATTAACTAACATGGGGGTGTACAGTACAACTTGTTTACCTTCGTTTTGGAATTTCGATATAAAAAATCGACTTCCTTTATTGCAATTAAAATGACTTAATATTATATGTACTGGTAGATGAAGGTTTAGTATAAATATTACTATTGCGATCATTCATATGAATAAAGGACCTTACATAAGAAAAATTGATTTAAAGTCCTGTCCAGTTTACAGTGTACAGTACGCTATATAAAGTACTGTACTGTACAGTACCGCAAAGTGGAGATCCTATGGCTATCTCCTATGGCTGTCAGCCGGGCATAGGTGATCGCCAAAACCTCGACCTCTAGCTATGGCGTACGTACTACTTGGACAATTAGTGAATGTACTGTATGTACAGTATAGTACATATATGTATCATTACAGTGAGTGTGATTATACTGTCCACAGTACTAGAGTATACTATCTGTATATTTTAGCCCAGGTCATTTTTCGGACGTAAACAATATGGCATCTAGCAGCAATGCTAACAGCAGCGAATCCATTGATACCTCCACAAATGAAGCTAGCCAGCAAGCATGGCAAGCATTTAAGACAGTAAATAATATTCAAATTGATGAAATCTATCATTATGATGCAACCGAGCAACGTGAAATTCAAATAAGGAAACCATGGAAGCAATCGTGAGTTTTCACATCATACGTTATTAATCGATTACTCATTTGTTAGTTGATGCGTACTTTGGTCAAAATCAGCTTAAATTACTGTCGGTAACCTTAGGTGATGTAGGAATACACCACGTTAATTTGAAGATCTAGAAATTTCAACTGATTAATCCCTGATTAGTATTACCCATACTATGCTTGACGGAAAAGTAATCAATGTAATAGCTATCACATGTGATGCATGGTAATTAGTTCAAAAATTAGTCTACTACATGCGATCATTTACTAGCAAATCAGATGATCCTACTAGTCTAAGCCCAAAATTTTGTAACGCGTTGACTAATAGTACTCATCATTTTCACAATGCATAATTGATCGCTTTACCTTAATTTGACATTTACTAAATATACTACTGTACGCGTATATAGTACTAACGAATTAATATTCACGTTCACAACACAGAGAAGATTACTTTAAGAAGGTCAAAATCTCCGCTTTAGCCTTGCTGAAAATGGTACGTAACATCTTATTGCTACGCGTATTCACATTGTTTTAAAATAGTTAATGTTGGCAAGTCCGTTAATCTAAACTGATAAAATTTGGGAATAATGTTACGAATTTTTGAGAATGTATACGTTATTATACAGTATACTATACGTACACTAAAAAACTAAATTTATCTAGCAATACTCTACAACAAAAAGCTTAGCTCTTAGGACTAGCACGAGTCTTTTTTCTAGTATTCATCTTGCTATTTCGTCTTAATTACAGATTGTAAGTACTGTACTGTATTGCTTGCACAATATAATAACCCATCTTTGCTAAGACCTTGCTTATATCAAACAGAATAGGCGTTAATCTATTGGCATTACATAGTAACTGGAACGTGAAGTAATAATTTTGTCTTATATGTATGTTTACTCCGTTATAATTAATTATGATCGTACGACAAAAGCTAACACATGCTAAAAGTGGCGGTAATATCGAGATTATGGGACTGATGTTGGGAAAAGTACGAAACGAAGATATGATTATCATGGATTCTTTTGCCCTGCCTGTTGAGGGGACCGAGACGCGTGTAAATGCTCAAGAATCTGCTTACGAGTATATGACTGCGTATGTAGAAGCAGCTAAACAGGTAACTTAAACCAGCGACGCTAAATCTTTATTTCTTGAACCTTATGAAATTTCGGTTATACATGCTGCAACTTTCTCTAATGTTACAGGTTGGCAGGCTAGAAAACGTCATTGGTTGGTATCATAGCCATCCAGGCTATGGCTGTTGGTTATCAGGTATTGATGTTAGTACGCAAATGCTAAATCAGACATACCAGGATCCTTTCGTAGCTATTGTCGTAAGTACTTTAAAATGCAATATAGAAAATAATTTATTGCTTATACTGCGTAACGAAACGAAATCATTGATTTTATATCAACACGCTATAATTTGTGTACCATATAGTAGGGTCATTATCTGCAAGAAAAATTATAAATGTATTACTATTTACGATATTAATCTTACGAGTTTTGATATTAGATTGATCCTATTCGTACTATGTCGTCTGGAAAAGTCAGTCTGGGAGCTTTTAGAACGTACAGCAAGGTAAGATTAAAATTGTGTGTACTTCATAAATATTGTAGATAAAATAAAAAGTTATGTATATCATTTCTAATTGATCAAATTTGATCAGGATTACGTTCCGAAAGATGAAGGGCGTTCAGAATACCAAACAATTCCTTTAAATAAAATTGAAGATTTCGGTGTTCATTGCAAAAGGTACCTTTATTAAATATATTTTTAATATACTTAATAATCTTCAAGACCATAAAAATTTCATTTCGGATAGGTACTATTCTTTAGATGTGACATACTTTAAATCATCACTGGATGGTAAATTATTAGAGTTATTGTGGAATAAGTATTGGGTCAGCACTCTTTCATCCTCTAGCCTTCTAAATGTAAGATAATAGATTGAAATTTAAACATCGTCTATTCTTAAATCAAGGCAAAAGTAAATTGCTTTAATACCGGGTTATGTGCTTGTCTAGAATGCCGAGTATACGACTCAGCAAATTGTAGATTTATCCGAAAAATTAGATCAAGCTCAACAACTGTTACAGGTAAAATATTGGTTTTCTTTATGCACTATATATCGGCTTTATAACGATCAGCTTTGTAGCATTAAACTGTAGCTTACATGCATACCTGTTAATTTGTTACCTCTTACATTATATAGACAAGCTCGGGATTATTTTCTAAGCACGGACTTAAGGGCGACTCGAAGAAACTACATTCAACCGCCAAGGATAGGTAAAATTTTATTAACTGTGTCAATTTCGACATACTATCAAATAATTGACATTTTAACATTAAAGCTTAATCGAATTTAATTTTCAGCTCAAAAATCGCTTTGGAAGCTGTCCATGGATTAATGTCTCAAGTGATTAAGAACCAATTATTCAATTAAGTTAAAAATGGATTGAATACTAGACTACTGTAGATCACATAATTATCAAGAAAGAATCTTTTATATTTACTTATAATGTGTACTTGAGGTAAAGGAATTAAATCCAGTTTTATATTCATGCGTTAATAATAATTTAAAGACTACATTACCGTGTATTTATTTCATAACCCAACCCTTAAAGTGCTCTTCATCAAATTACGTAATCGATTGAGAACGATTACAAACTGTGATGATATTTAGCACTGAGAGACTGGTCAAGAAACTTTTCAGAGGATAGATAACTAAGTTTCGAATTAAATTAATCCTGTATATACTATAAATCACTTAATTCAAAATACTGTAGTGTAGAAATTATAATATTCATTCAGCCCTGTGTATTGTGTTCGTGTAAAAATATCTTGGTTTCTTATGTTTCGTTCGTAAAGTAGAGAATAAAATAAATTAACAATGTACGAATTACTTGATATAAAGGACCAAGCTATGTTTTACGGATATTTACATTTACAAGCCAAGAACATAAATTTAGATATCACTTTTGATTATCCCTTTCGATGTTTCGTAACAATAATTTCAGCTGTTTTTCTTACAAACTGTGATGCACCCATAAGCCTAAATATTTCTAGTTCTTGATAACTTAATTTATACTATTATAACCATTGTCTTCTAATCGGGGTTATTCGTAGACGAGATGATCTTTATCCTAGCTATCCTTACTATTTTACAGCCAACTGACAAAGTCAGACGCTTTTATTCTGTTATTTCTCGTGTTACGACTAAAATAGTATCATTCTAACTGGATAAATTATAAATTTCATACTTCAAAGGATGAAAATCATTTGTAGTTTACGCCATTATAACTAACACAAAACGGACACAACCATAAAGGATTTGCAGTTACACATTCATAACTTTATTTCAACAACTTCAGGATTAAGTACAATCTTGGCTGAAATTAAGTACTGTCTACTGCAATTGTTCTGCATTCTTTGAATACTTAAATATTAATACACTGGTTTTTGATGGAGTACAAAGTATTAATTTCACCATTACTGATGTGCAAAAATCCTGCCGAGATAAACCGGTGACAAATTGCACCTTAGTACAGAAAAGTTCTCTTAAATAAATTCAAAAGTGTTTCATAACGTTTAAGAAGTTATCACATTCATTTAAGTTAATTTAGTTCAGATTTGTTATCATGCATATAAAGTAGAAATATACAGTATATCACATGCTATCATTACTAATGCCATGCATTTCTAATGAGCACGTTTGTACTCAATGTTAATACAGTTTATATTAGTCATTGATACGTTAGTTATCAGGAAATGTGGAGTTTCTCTCATATCATAGATAACTGTATGTCAATATACAGACGAAGTTGAAAACGATTAAATATTCATATAAAGTATACATTACTATAAATCAATGAAGTCACGATCAGGTAAACCAATTACTATGATTCAATGCATTTATCTACTAACTAGTGTATCTAATTGTTATGAAACGATTCCAGAGACATATTTATTAATCATACCAGCAGAAGAAGCTACATTATTTAGCTTATTCACTTCTGCTTGCCACAGTGGCAATTTCTTTGCAGCTAAATGACGTCGTGCGTGCTTTGTGAGATGATCACTTCTCATGAAACGTCGACTACATAAAGGACATATGTAATTCTTTTCACCAGTATGAGTCCTTCTGTGGCGAGCTAATTCATCAGACCTAGCGAAGCGTCTGTTACAACCTTCCCAACAGCAAACAAAAGGTTTTTCGCCTTAAAAAAAAACATAGAAAGGACATTAAAAACTGAGAAGGATTTCAAAAATTGGATTGCAATATAATTCATTGTACTGCTTTATGAGACAATAATTAGGTAATTTATAATTGTCAATACCTGTATGAGTTCTGATATGAGCTTTTAAGTGAGAACTTTTCAGGTAAGTCTTATCACAATTTTTATGCGGACAAACATGATTTCGACGCCTAGTAGGATCAGCTTTGTTGCTGGATCGCTTTGGAAACAACGAGATTTGATGACCGCTTGGTGATACAAGCACCATTGATGGCGGCACAATTACGCCAGTTCCATATGCCTTGGTAACTGCAGGATACTGCATAGTATTGTCGCAGCTTTTAAGACCAACACTTGGTGGGACGTTAGTCACTATCGGAACTTGTTGCGATAAGCAATACTTTAGACCTAGGTCGTTAGCCATGGATTGAGGGGCAAACGCTGGTAGCTGTGTGAAAGTAAAATCACAGTAATTAGTAGCTGAAAAATATTTTACCGGCTCCGTTGTTTCAGTCTCTCAAAGTATGACATGTACATTATACTGCAAGTCTGAACGTGGCAAAGTACAAGTTTTTCAGCAATCGATACTAAAGGCTACTCTCGTCACTGGAATATGCAATATAACGTAATACGGGGTGCATTGTATCTGCTATGCAAACTACTGAGAATTGCACGGAAAAATTACATATAATCGTATCATCATAATTTACTGCTTGATAAATTTGCGTCAGTCTAATGATGGCTTAAGTATAATTTTCTGAGGAAGATTGATATCATAGTAACAAATTAATCTTTTTGAGTAATAAAGACTTACCATAGCGTTTGCAAATATCGGCTGCTGCAAACAATAGCCTACAACAGGCGCTGTAGAGAATTCAACATGATTCCTTTCGTATTCCGTTTTGACTGCGACTGCCGTTTGTACGGCTTTTGTAGGGTCGTTGATATGAAATGAATTTTCATGTACGGTTTTTGTAACGTCGTTGCCTTGAGATGAATTCTCATTACTTCTTGACATGGCCAACAAGGACTGAACGGCTTCTAAGTCACGAACTTTACAGTTTTCTTTCTAAAATAACGATATCGAAATTAGAAAAATTTATACGAAAAGCTAAATCGGGATGCTGCATGTTGCATGCGCCTACGGACTGTGTCCTGTCTCCCTTGAATAGTCAAAGTCCATGTTTGTAGCAAATACTATAGTGATAAAGTAAAGTTAACGTACAATATATACTAAAACATATACTGTACAATACTATACTAGCATTTTGCATGATCCATTTTAACAGTAAAATAGGATATTAAGTGTACAATCTACATGTGTGTAAGCGCACTGACTCAGTTTCTGTGCAATCGACATTGTAATTACAATAGGAGATGCAGTTGATGCAGAATTGTAAAAATTATTAGTACTCTATCATTTGTAAAATTTACAGTATACGTATAACATAGATTGATTAGCTCTTTTCAAAAATCTAAATTCATAACTACAGTACATCATGACGCGACTTATGGTAACTATTGATTAATCATATACGTATACGTATACTATGAGGTCACCAGTGATTAGAATTATATTTTTTGACTGCAATGAGTCTATTTTCCAGTGGCAAATTGTTCAACACAAGTAGACCTAATACTACATTGTAAAAGAATAACTTGCAAGGGGGAATGAGGCAAAAAGAGTCTACAATTTAATCCTAATGTTATACTAAACTAAAACTATTCGAATCAGGCCTGACGCAGCTATTCAACTGCATTACAATACATTTTGTAGTTCAAATTTTTATTCACAACTAGCATTTTAGAAACTCGACATTGAGCATTGACCAGAAACTCCTTCCAATAATAATTATTAATAAAGCAGTATCAGGATCAGATCGATCAATAATAAAATAAAATTAATATATGGCACATAATATATTTGTACTACATGTGATCAGTGGCAGTCAGTATACAATAGTATCAACTCTGGATATTCAATGTGATGATGGAAAAGTACCGTAAAAATCTCATTTACTAAGAAAACGAAATGTCCTTCGAGTTGAGCAATGTAGGTACGGTACTGTGGAACAACTAGCACGTATAGAACATGCAATCATAATCTGGATATACATAATCTATCACATATACTAAAATCGTCATTGCATGTTTATAAACATGATCATATCATCGGTGTTGATTTTAACTCACCATTTTTAATTCTGTTGCTTCTTTCTTAACCAACGATTGATCAATTTTCTCAGGTTGCATCACCTATTTGTACTTTGTTATTCGCTTGTGATGGTTGACAGTGCTGAAGTGATAAGCGAAATGATGACCGAATGAATTTTTTGGCAATTGTTATTATTGTTATTGTACGTGTAGACACTCATTAATATACTACGGCGGTATTGACTCCATTTACAGCAGCACGGTAATTTGCATAGATGTGCCGCACCGGTTTAACTTTAACCTTGTCCATAATACATAAAAGGAGTGTAACCTTGGTCAGATCCTTTGGTGTGGCTAGGGGCGTGAGCTCGGTGGCTATCCAATCAAAGATCAATGTTGCAACTGTCTACCAATAGGGGCCGTTGTAGCATGTGGGCTGTGCGTGGTCTTTCACGTGCAAGACAACAATAAACCCTGTTGTACTCACAACAGTCGAGTAAATTGAAATCAATGACTGTACAGTATTTTTCTTTTTCATCAGAGTGTAATGTACTGTACTGTACAGTACCGACTGGATACTGCCGTACCATACAGTACAGTACAGTATATACAGTATTAGAGTATGTACTGTGCAGTACTGTATGAAACTTTCTCTCCAGTACTGTACTGTACACTACAACCGGTGTAAATTTCCAACAGCAAAATAGAAACTACGGTGGCCCATGGGATCATGGGATCATGGGCCACCACCGTAAGAAACGACCCCGAGTGAAGATTTGTTATTTATCGTGCAAAATAAACTACTGAAGACGTAGGTCACGCATGCACTTGTAAAAGGTTACGGACCACTGCACTATACTATGCGCCGTACACAGTGTGCAGCAGTGGAGTACAGTGTACATGTAGTTCAAACATGATTCAAAGTCTGCATGCATCAACTCTCCATTGCAATTCAATCAGTACACAGTCTTGATGACGTATTAACGTATTCAGTACGTATAATTACATTACGCGTTGTTTTTCTGTTAATATGGGAATGATCTCCCAATAATTTGATCTCCTTTATTTATTTACCGCAAATAATACTTCACTCCTCCATTTGAAAAAGAACTGACTGTAAAACTTTTCGATCCCATACTGACGAATATTTACTAATTTTAAATTTTATTTCATTACATGTAAAGTACACGTACAGTATAATGCAATACCACATCGAAAGTCTTGTCATTAGCTAGCCTAGCCGGTGATGAGAAGCAGTGTAAATAGTGTATTTATTCTTGAAGAATAACACCTCTTTTGCTGTCAACAAATACGGTGATTCATAATACGAGTAATTACTAACATTAGAATTACTAGAAATTACAGTGACCATTCAATTGAATGTCTTATCATTTTGATTTTGTATTGTACTATATAATGATTACGCATGATTTATGATATACTCAACGTGATACATGCATGCTCACTCAGGTTCATACTCTCATAGTGCGCAGTCATTGAACATTTATTTACTTACCTTTGGTCAATCAATTGTATGGTATTAGCATAAATCAACGGCAACTACTGTACCGGCTGGAACGAGAGGTCACGGATACTTCATGAGGCATGCAAAAAATTTAATTTTTGCGCAAATTAATGCATCATCGAATTTTTCCATTATTTATTTTAGGAAAAAATTAATACCATCGACATTCATGTAGAGTTCACAATGAGTGTGGCCTAATTATCATAACTGACTTTCGCGTACATTGTGATACACGTTTCCCTGCCAGCCCAATCGCAGAACACGACTGCCGAAATGACAACTAGCAAAGTACACTCCGTGCTAAAACTGATTTATTATACAAGGGTCTCTACTGTACTGTACAGTACAGTACACTGTACACTCAGAGTACAGTACAGTATACTACGTGCATACTGTACTGTACTGTACTTAGCTCGGCAGTCCTTATTAAAGTGCATGATACGGTCTTTGATACCGTAACTGTTCCTTTTACTGTACTGTACTGTATACTGTAGGCTTTAGTATCAGAGTTGGAAGCATTTTACAATGCAAAGTTCAATCTTTGAGTTGGCGTTTTTATTAAGAGAAATTTATATTTTCTTTTTTATAGTATCAAGATACACTAACATGATGAAATATTATATCTTAAAACAATTTTCCTAATAAACAACTTATAATTGGAAGGAATTATAACTGTATAGAATGTAAGGTACTTTGCACTGTAAATGTATAACTCACTATGTGAACTGCCGCAACGCTCAATTTCAAGTCGCAGTACTGCCGCGTTACATATGAACTCTATTTCATGCGGCAATTCTAGAACACAATTTAAGTACTGTATTTCCACGGACTACTTTACTCGTACGAATCGCCGACTGCTGAAATGAAATTCGTTAATAGTATTTGTAATAACAGGTTTCAGAAGTCATTCAAGATTTTAAATTCAAATTTAATTATCTGCATGCATAGTGACACACACACTGTACTCTACTGTACTTTACATACAGTATACCGAAATACTCTTCCTGTTCATATCACCGATTGATACTTATATATGCACGTAAAACTTCGCTAAGTGCAAATGAATAGCAATTACCCTATATACGAGTATATATTTGTACTCATCTACTACTACCACATAAATACGAGGTTATATCCATGAGTCAAAACACACACGGAATTACTGATGCCAACATTGTACTATGCCAATACACTCTGGTAAACGTACGCGCATAGTACTTGTTAATATTCTACGTCTTTAGACCTACTGATAATGTATAGCCGTTTGGAAGAGACTGGATACGAACTTTTAAATTAAATCATACATAGTCTACCAATAAATCAACAAAAGTTATGGGCAAATCCCGAAATAATGCTTAAACCTTACGAGATTCCTATTCTTATTTACAGTACTGTACATCATTCCATACAGTGAGAAATACTGCCTCGAATGATATGACTTTCAACTTTAAGATCTGCATTATACCTATTAAAATCTAGATTTTTAGTTAGAACAAAATAAATGAAACTTATGAATCGTCTCTGAACTAAAAAAAATTTAAGATTCGAACAATACTTCTAATCGGCCAAGATACACATTAAAATCAAATTAAAATTAATTAATATGGGACCATGCTAGACTAGACAGGGATACTGTAAATAGGGTCATAAATAATGCAGTTTATGATAAATATAATATTAATTAATTAAAACCCCGTAAAATTTCCACGGGTTTTAGTAGCCATTATATGCTCGCACAGTAATTACTAATTAATGTTTTGTATTAGTCGAACCTTCGCCGGTGATAGTTTGCATGCTATGCCTTAACTGTACAGTGTACAGTCAGAGATAAATACTGTATTTGTTTCAGAATTCCCTGGTAGAGTCCTGCAATAACCTTTATTGTAACACTAGATAGAAGTCACTGTCCCTCTTTAGTTCTAACATACATAATATAACTGATAAAAGTGTCACTCTACAGCAGTCCATCGCATAATATTAATGTATAGACCACTAGAAGAATATTTTTCTGGTGGTCCATAGTTAATCCACGTCTAAAATCAAAACCATGCTAAAACTCATCGAACATAAAATAATGTTAATTTAGTGAATGACTATACCATAATAAGTGCAAAATAAAGTGAGAGGTCTATCATTTTCCCGGTCGTTCCACTATACGGTACTATAGACAACCAGGTCTTCTTCTAGTAGTCCGTGACGGTATCCAATGAAATCGTATACCATACTAGGGATTTCTAAGAGAAATATTGCACAAAATCAACCTTCCAGCTATTACATACACTATGTTAGTTTGATAAATAACTATTATATATTCAGAATTGTTAGTATGTGTTAAGCATCTATTACATATATATACTGTATACTATCACGCTTGTTGTTACGCAATTGCACGCCTTTTATGTTCGCCTAAAATGTAATTTCACGCGTGCAACTCATGGATAAACATGCTTCATTTGTTACCATTTAAACGGATATTTGTTATTAATTGAATAATTTTTTTTGTAGTGCGGAGTTTTTTAGTTCTTCAAAGTTGTTCATTAATTAATTTAAGACTGATATAATTTTACGTTCATCCTTCTCTTACATGCTACTTCCATTCTGTACTATATGTACATTCTTACCTTGCGATTGTCGTATGACCCACTGTATGTAGTACCCTTATTACATGCTCGTTCAATGATTCTTATCTAACTCAGTAGCGTACCACGATATATATCACGCGATTGTACGCTTACTGTACTGCACTATACATATATGGCTGTTAGATGTAACTGACGCAGTTGCTGCGTCTCTACGTTGGCTCCATGCTGAAGCTGATCTTTACTAGTTAAGGTATATCTGCTTCTCTAATAAAGATCCTTTCTTTATCTCTATAATCCTTGTCCATTTACCCGAGTTATAATTACAGCGATTACATGCAGTGCAGTACACTGATTTACGCTTGTAGATTTACTGTACTGTACAGTATATTAACTATACTGTACACTGTACAGTACAGTACTGTAAATCTACCGTATCTTGTTATATTACAGTTGTCCTAATAAACTTTTCCTTATCTTCTCATCATGTACACATCATACGAAGTTTATTACTTGACTCAAGCAGTAATACGAACACATAACACCAGCTACTTTGAATATCAATTGCAGATAGTATCGTACTGTACACTGTGTACAGTACAGTACAGTAGACCTGATTGTACAGTACCGTACAGTATAGGATTAGTATTGCAGAGGCTAGGCGAGCCCTCTAAAAATGGTTGAAAGATGCTCAGCTATTATGATGCCTTAAGTTATATCTTTAAAGTTGGCTCAAATTCTACCCAGACAGATCGGTACAACCTTGGGTAATTGGCTCTTGATATTTTTGTTCCTTTCTTTTGCAGTCTTGAGTAATTTTATTTCTTTAACTAGACAGAGACGAGACAGGAAACGATCTGCGATCTGTTACTATGCTAATAATGTTTTGGCTGATTATTTTGCTAGTCATTTCAACTGTATCGCATATTAGCCTGCTATTGGCTGCTAGCTTGGTTTCGTGCAATATGATAGAAGAAGACCTGCAGTCCCGCACTATTCACTGTTGGACGGACAGACCTTTTCGGCCTCATCTCGTCAAAATACCTTACTGTGCCAAACACTTCATTATGCACTTACTTTAATAGGTAGACGGTCGATTTTGAATTGAATCACCTTTTCTCAATGAAGTAACATTAAGGTTAAGGTATACTGTACACTGTACAGTATACTGTACCTAGATACAGTACATACTGTTAAACTGTTATACAGTACAGTACGGACTCGCAGGCCTTGCAGGCCTGATTCCCGCGCATATTGTTCTGTACAGTATAGTACAGTACACTTTCTAAATTTGAAAAATGATGTCACAGCTTGATAACGAAAGAGTGCATTGTACAGTAGTACAGTACAGTATGTACCGTATCACTCATTAGTCTACAGTGTATAGTACTGTACTGTATGTACTGTACTGTACTCAGCGGTTCAACCCATAGGGGTAAGAAAATACCTACAGTACTATAGAGTTCTGACTTAACTTACTCATTATTACAGTACTGTACTGTACAGTACACAGTGTACAGTACAGTACAGTATACTGTAGTGTACAGTACAGGTACTGTACTGTATAACCGAACCTTTCTTTCAGGTCTAACCAGTGTAATACGCACTATCAGTACTGTACAGTACAGTATACAGTATACACTATCCGTTAACGACTGTACTGTACTGTACTGTACGGTATTAGCTATCAGTTTTTCATTCGTAGTTTCATTCACGTTCTTGGTGAACGACGGTTTAGCCATCTTGCCATCCTCACACTCCAGATTTTGTATCTTGGAAACATCGTCCTTTTCAATCCGCAAAAATTCTTCGTTTTAAAGCTTTCGTGAAGATTGAGAGGGTTTCTCACCGGCAGGTAGGTTTTTAACAGTATTAAATCTTCGATAATTGTAATATGAAACCGGTTAGTTGAATTTTAACATCGGATATCGTTGCATTTGGTAGGGAAGAGATTGTTGTGTCACGGTGGATCTTCCCTGCTTGTTTCGGGATCAGTTGGATATCAACTTCGAACCTGAGTGGGACCCTAGCTGATATTTGCTCAAATTTTCAAAGTGCAACCTCTCGCGGTAAAATCTTGCTATTTATATAAGTTCGTGATTCAAAATCCTATGACCAACTTGAATTTCATTGAATTTCTGTAGGCCCGCCAGCCCGCTATACAGACGACGTTATCTTACTAGTATTATAGGAATAACTTAGTATAAGTAATTAGTAATTTCTGAACCCGCATAAAACTCTATCCGAAAGGATGAAACCTGCTTACGACACTGTTTTGGAAGTTTTACCATCACTTTCTCTTCGCGAATTAGTAACAATTAAAGCCAATGCTGCTGGTCGCGATGTAAGTGTACGAACGCGTGTATTTAGCATTTACAGCACTGTAATTCTGTTTTAAGAATATGCACACTAGAGATTGTGGTGACATCTTACTGTAAATGTCTAATCCTACTATTTACTATCAACTTTCAAAGGATAAAGACGATCCGTTTTACATTGTGAATGTTGGTAACATTCTAAAGAAGCACAAAACTGTAAGTCCAGATTTTCACTATGATAAATTCTTGTACAGTTAGCATACGTTCTAAAAATTCGTTAAAATATCCATACGGCTGCTATAGCTCAGTTTTAAAAGTATACAACGTATAAGTTCTATAGTTTACGTGGATATTGAATACAGTATTGGTTGACTTATTAGTTATAAGCAGTCTTTTCGTTTCAATTTTTACGCTCTTTCCTACCACTGTATTGTGTATTTGTAATCTTGACAGTAAACTTTTTGTTATATGCTTTAGCTGTATGTATTTTATAAATGAAAAGTACAACGGACATTGGTGCTTCTGATGTTAACACGTGTATACAGTACTTCTGATATCTGATAAGTGCAATACTCGTATACAGGACAATCAGTGAATGTGCTTAGCGAATGTGAATTGTAAATATTTAAAAATTCCTGAATACGAGTGAGTAGAATACACTGACTAGTTCCTGTACGATACTGTACTGCGGTTAGAACCAAAAAATGGAACATATGCCATACAGTATACGGCGTTCTACCCACATCATAGTGACTAAAGACAGCCGTACTATATACATATACGAAATTTTAGTATCTTCATTATACATTGTACTCCTAATGGTTTAAAATTGATGACTTGACGGCAGGTAGCCAATACATTATATGCAAAAAAACAACTTGTAATTAATACGTATTAATTTCCTTTCACGTAAACAGTGGTTATCCCTCCTACCACGAGTAGAGCCATTCTATGGTAAGTTTCTCGATTTTTTATGGTGCTGAATATCATACCATACAAATATTTAGATCTTTTATAACATTATATTAGCTGTAAAATGCAATGACGACCGCAACGTTTTAGCCACGCTGAGTGCATTGGGAATTGGTTTTGATTGTGCAAGCATGGTTAGTTTCGTAGATAATTGTTTCAGTTAATCTTTCTTACTTTTTCTGTACTTCAAAGTCTAAAAAATTATGTTTGCTGCTTAACAAAATTGATAAAAAATATTGATATATATATGATGCCTTGTGAATTCCTTATCAGGCTGAAATTAAGGCAGTTCTGAAATTGGGTGTTCCTCCAAGCAAAATCGTATACGCTAATCCGTGCAAACAGGCTTCTCACTTGAAGTGAGTAATTATCGTAATTATCTTGCATGCCTATGATACGTAAATCTTGTCTTATCCGTAGTACAGAAGTCATAAAACTTCATTTTGTTATGTAATTTATTAAAAGATTTGCTGCCAAGCGCGAAGTAAGTATGATGACATTTGACAATGAACCTGAACTGCATAAAGTGAAGCAACTCCATCCTACGGCCAAGTAAGCATATAATGTTGATTTCATATATTTATTTAGCATGACTTGAACAAGTGTTAAATGTAACTTTCATTTTACTATTAGATTAATCTTACGATTGCTCACTGATGATTCCAAATCGCTTTGCCGAGTGAGTATAGAATTAACTCAAAATAACCTTGATGACTTCTTCATTCTAAAATTGTTCGATGTGATATGATTTTAATCGGAAGCTGGGACAGAAGTATGGTGCTCCTCTTAAAACTGTTCCAAACCTTTTGCAAGTAGCACGAAACCTTGACCTAAATGTTGTTGGCATAAGGTAAGCAAGCGATTGAGATTCTGTTAACATTGCGAGCTATGAAGATATAAACTTGCCCTCACTGTAATCACATACTAGTGATGAAGATGATTAAGAAAGATTAAAATCCTGAGCCCGTGTAACGCAGTTATTTACTGTGCAATATATGCTTGTTTACTCTATTGTTCGTAAAGTAATATAATACTCACGTATAGTTACTATATTTATCAGCTTTCATGTAGGCAGTGGCTGCTACGATGCTTCGGCATTTTCATCTGCGGTTGAAATTGCGAAAACGGCATTTGACTATGGAGTGAGTGCAAAAATCGATAAAGCAAATAGTAAAAATGTCCCGATTTGTGGCTTAATGAGTTACGTGATGAAGTACAAGATGTAATACATTTCAATTGTTATACAGAAATCTATGGGCTTTCAATTCGATATTTTGGACATTGGTGGAGGATTTCCGGGCTCACCACGGGCAACAGTTAGTTTTGAAGAGGTACGTGTGTGTGAAAGCGAATTCTTGTATGATATATGTGGTGTCATGGTTATAGACTACTTAAGTTAACGCTATTTAGCGTCTAAATAAGGGTGCTTTATTTATGGGTATATGTAGATTAGTGCAACTCTAAATAAGGCATTAAACAAACATTTTCCGGTTGAAAGCGGAGTCAGGATCATCGCTGAGCCAGGTATTATTATGTAATTTGCTGTTTTTCATATTGCAGAATTTATAGCATTAATTTTGTTAGAATATGAAATACAGTATATGCTAAATTTACTCTTTTATTTGCATCAAGGTCGCTATTACGTGGCATCTGCCTTTAACTTAGCTGTGAATGTTATTGCTAAGCGCCAAGTTAACGATGACAATACGCAAGCGCAAGGTAAACAGCATGCATGTACGCTAACTCTTATGCAAACCCAACGTAACTCATACGCTTTTTCGTAACAGATAGGAATGTTGACAACAAAAACGTGAAAAAAGCCCTCACGGTTCGTATTTAGGCGTCATTTTAACCGTTTAAGAATTTTTGCTTATATGTTCAGTGGCTAATCGCGGCTGTTATCGTTACAGCAGAAATACATGTACTATGTAAACGATGGTGTATATGGTTCTTTCAATTGTCTGCTGTACGATCATGCGATTGTATACCCTAAAACTTTGGGAAGAGATAACGAGCAGCAGTATTCTAGTAGTATATGGGGACCAACTTGTGACGGACTAGATTGTGTCATGAAGGAATGCATGCTTCCTGAGGTATGTTTACTTACTTTACTTAGTAACCTATCTTACGTAACGCATATTTATATCAAACGTTAACTAAAAACTTCACGTATTTGAATAGTTGGATGTTGGAGACTGGATGTACTTCGAAGGTTAGTAAATTTATCTACTATCACAACTTTTAATTCTACTTTCAAACTTTCCAATATTTAATTACGTATATTATATCTCTAGATATGGGTGCGTATACAGCAGCTGCAGCTTCAAACTTTAATGGCTTTCAAAAGCCCTTGGCTTACTATGTTATAGAAGAAAAAGTTTGGTAAGTTGAGGATTTAGAGTAATAAATATCTAAAGCCACTACTTTCCGAATCTAACTGTATAAAATTACAAATACTGTTATAGGAATCGTTTGAATGGTATTCTACCGATGCCTTTTCACTTCGAGAGAAAATCGGACAATCATTTCTTACAGCAGATCAATAGGTTATGCATAGTGGGAGCAGACTCGCATCTGGTTAAGGAATAAATACTATGGTCATACAATGGTGTAGATTGAAATTAGGGTTAATTAAGTAGCATATTGACATAGATTCGGTAAATTAGCGTTTAATCATTCAATAATTATATATCTTGGCACAATAAGTTAATGCAAGAGAGGTTGCATAAATACTAATATGTAATACACGGTGATATTCCCTTCTGTGGTATCTATTATTATATCGTATATATTTATGTTTACTTTACTCCTATAATAATTCAACTTTTCGACCTACCTTCGAAATAAGTTATAATTTGTAATAGGTTAAGCTCTAGTTCTATGTCCATGACTTACAATATTTTTACCCAGAAAGTATGCTCCTATTGCTTTGCCCGTTAATGTATGATTATAATAATCGTACTTGAACACTACACGTATCAATATTCTATCAATAAATTTACACTGAATTAGCCTAAAGCATGATGTGACATGACTGATATTTTGAGGTTACAGTTTAACGTAGTTTAGAAATGACGTACATCGAACAGACTTAGGTCGATTGAAATTTACTATAGCTCAGAAATTTTGTAACGCAAAGCGTAAATAGTACAATCATTTAGTTATCGTAACAAGTTTGCTTCGGCATTTAAACTAGACTTTGTGAATTAGTGCTGCAACGTAGTTTTTTTATTATTTTAAAGAAAGTATAAATTAACAATAACAGTCAAACTTCTGTATTATGTTTAAGCACGAGTGACAGTTATAGTCATCCCTTGAATTCCAAGAGATATCATATCAGTACGTCTACAGTATATAAGAACATAGTATAGCATGTAACTAAAAATGGTACAACAGATGACTTCAATAATAATTATCGTCTTTAATATCAAGTATAAACTATATCGATGGTTAGCGCGTAAAAAAGAATTGGATAGTGGATATGGCATATCTAGGATCAACATAATCCTACTACCCTTAGAATATACTAAACATTGAAAAGCTTTCTCGAAAGCTATAATACAATACTGAATATTGTATGCACTAAGCAAGCGAGTTAACGTCAGTACTGCACTATAGTATTAATTAGCGATTAAAATTAATTAATTACATAGTATTACAAGCAAAAGACACGTATGATACAGTTGCTATTTTAAGTAATTAAAGAATGTAATTTCGGTATCCTGATTCTTTCGTAACGAAATCACGAAGTCGTTTATTTTTCATTTCGAAAATATGAATAGTCGGTGAAGTTGAAGCTGTTCATAGACGAATTCTGAATGTACTGGCGAAATTAAAAAAGAAGTCTTAAAAACTTTAGACATACGTGTGCCTATCTCAATTATGAAGATCTTTACGTCGGAAAATTAACTTACTTTTCAAAATCTGGCGATTTAGAAATGACATGTTCAAATTCAGCAAATGTTAACATACTATCATTATCAAGATCGGCTTCTTGAAAGATCTGAGATTTTATTTGGATGTTAATCAATGTTAATTAATATTGAATCAGGTAGGACATTTAAATTTCGATTGACATCCTAGGGAATTTGCTACCTACAAGAAATTACAATTACTATTTTTGTTCTACATGTGCACAAACCTTAGAAATTAGATTTTCGATATCTTCTTGATTTAACTCAGATTCTCCGCAAAGCCTAGAAACTAACTCCGTAAGATCTGCTATATCAATCAAGTCATCGTCGTTGAAATCTATTTACGAAATAAAGAAGTTGTGTTACTTTACCCATTTTCAGGAATTATGTCATTTAAACATATTACAGTAACCATCAGTAAATAAATAATTATATAAATAACACGAATTCATACTAAATCACTAATTCAACATATCATTCTTTAGGGTGAGATATAGACATATTTTAAAATTACTATACAATTTTCATTATGAAATATATAAAATATTATCTGAATGCCAATACTAAGAGCAAAATAGGTCACAGATGTCAGTATTTAGTATGACAAAATACTACGAGTCAATTAAGAGATATTTTTACTGTGCAATGCGCTACAAGTTCAAACAAAGTCAATGCAGCTTTTAGTAATATATGTACCATAAACCCTGAAAGCATATTCAATTTTTAATGCCTTTGGAGCCTAGTCGGATAAAGGAATTTATTAGTTCAAAGTTGTAAGAGTGTATTGCATCAAATTTTACTAGATTAGATCTGATAGCATCTAATTTTATGTGTATTAAGACAATATTTCTATCGATGAAATTTGAGGAAACCGCTATGGAAAGTTTATAATTTGACTAGAGTACAACTGCCACATATATTAAATAGATTGAAATATTCGCATAGCTACTTTAGCACCATCTTTTCTTACCCTTTCGCTAAATACGGACATCATATCGATGAAATCATCGAAGCATAAACTTCCATCATTTGATTCTGAGGAAGAAAATACCTTACAAAGTCGATCCGCAAATGGATTCACCTAAACAGTAGTAGATCTAATCAACGCTAGCGTTTCTCTACGTATTGTAGGAGTATCCACATTTTAATACTACTGCAGATTATTAAGTCTTGTATCACAATCTCTAACAAGCAGTAATGTGACTAGAAACTAGTTAAGGGACTATACTAGCATTGATAATGCTATCAATATCTTACACGGAGTTCGGGTAAGTCATTAAGCAATTTTTCTGCGCTTAACGTCGCGCGTATATCGTTCTCTAAAATTTCTGGAGCGAGCGCCACCCATCTCTTATGTGCTCTTAATCAAATTAAACAAATAAGCTATAAGTACAACGTTTTTCTTTAAATTAACGCGGTCAATCGAAGTAAATTATTATCGGTGTATTTCACGATCGATTTTAGATGACATAATAATAGCAGTAAATATTACACGATTTTAGATTGTATAATAACACCAGTAAATATTACTAGATTGTAAGATCAGTGATTGTAATCTAGTGTATACTTCCTAGTAATTTACCTACAAAGATGGAGATGAGAAAGTATAATTGAATAGGTATTTAACTAATGTTATGATCTAATACCTTATGATATCCTTCTTCGATAGATATGTTAAATCCTATAAAATTAGGCAGCAATATAAAGAAGGAACAAAATCCAATTTTCAGTACATAAGAAAAATTAAACCGCATCTTATCATAGGAATACAAGTGCCAGTGATTAGCTTTGAGATTGGATTGATATTCTTTCATCTATGCATTTATATAATTAATGCTTGTTGGAGTTACTACGACACAAGCTAATATTCAAAGGAAGCGGCTATTATGACACTTTCCGACATAAGTTGATTGCCTTCAATTATACCATAGAGCATTATGTTGATAACTTTACATTTCTATCATAAATGAATGCTGTTGTTTATCTTTTAAACTGTAATTAAGTGTACACTGTAAACGAAACTGTATAATAATAAGTTAGTACTTTACATCTTTCTTTCAATAACCTGTGGATAATGCGATCATTTACAGTATATGAAGTCCATTTTAAGTGATTTCTGATTTATAGATACGTACATGTGAAAAATGGAAGTGAAGTAGTAGCGTGTTAAAGTAGAGCTTTTTTAGATGACTTTTTAGTAATCACGCGTACAATCAAGCAAGGAAATGATATTACCTAAAACTAATATAGGTACGATCCCGGCAATATAAAAGTAAGTACTTTACTAATATTGTTAGTTAACGGGTAGGCGATAAATTTGAAAAGTTTCAAATATATACTGTACTTAATAAGTGATGGCGTTGATAAAAAAAAGTTGAATAAAATACTTCAGCGAGTCGTTTTACTTATAGTTAATAATAGTCTTAAGGCATTACATAGTATCTCAGCAAGAGGTAGTGAGTAATATCAAATGCGAAACAAAGGTGACGTTTTAAAGTCGATTTACGATAAGTTGCAATTAACATAAGAATTCGTAATAGTAGTAGGTTAAATAACCTAATCTTCTTTTGATCTCAATTCGTTCAAACAAGTCAATACAATTTTACATCACTTGTACAATGTAACATTAAAAGTTATCCCGTATCTAGTATTGACTAACATCCGTCAAGATGGACTTACTTTGTAGTCTTGTAGTTCTTCTTCTGTGAAAACTGATTGTTGTCCCCCCATAATGACGTCTTTATTTTTTATTTTTTTCTGTCCTTCTTTAGCAAGCTTGAGTAATCTGATTACAGTAAAGCTAAAAATCCTGTTGAATCGACAGAACTTGGTTTATTATACGCGTATCAAGGTGTCTTCTATTGTCGATATCGGCGGCAATCGGCTATAAAAATGTTTGAATTATATCGATATTTCCAATGGAATATGTAACTTTTTCAATAATAACAACAAGAAATCGGATGAGCTATGTACTGTATATTGATCAATTCTAATTAGCGCTATGACTAGTGGCAATAGCTCTGTCTAGTTAAGTTAACGATAGCAGATAGCTCAAGAAAATGATCGATATAGTACTGTACTGTCATTAAAGCACTTGTCACGAATGGCCCTACTCCATTCACCGTCTTCTTTTCACCAACTATACAGTATACTATCATGAATAGTGATATGTATCAGTACCACCCTCATCCGTGATGCAAATGCTTTGATTAGCAGCAGTACCGTACTCTCTTCTACTGTACTGTACTGTATATGTCACTATATATTTTATTGATTGATTTTCTATTTTGGGAGTTCTTCTTGGAAGCTAGTCCTAAAAATAGAACTTGACTAACAAGTCACGATGGATATCAACTGGCAAGTCTATCACCCAGTCGCTAAACATAGCTGCCATGATGCACTTTGAAGATACAAGTCCGCGTAGTACTGGGTTAGGGTCTACAAGGGCGTCGTCGGTCCGGTCATAATAACGTCGTGATGACGTAGATGTTACCTAGAGACTTTTGTGTCAGGGTACAGTACTGTACTACCATAACGGCGAAAACAAATGCTATACAAAATACTGTACTGTAGAACATGATACTGTTCCACAGTAACATACACTATATACTATACAGTTAGTATACAAGGCGACATTACACTGGTACTGGCAGCGGCAAACAATACGATAGGATAAAAGCTAGGATACGCAAATTATAACAACGGATTCGTGTTATTGGATTTCTTCTCTATGATTTAATATACAATTTGTTAAAGTTCTGTATATTTTTTTATTTTGCTTCGGTTTAAATACAGTACAGTACAGTACGTAAAAGTTTCCTCGGCCACTTTGTACAGTACAATATACTGTACAGTACTCAATCAGTGTACTGTACGGGTGGCATCAGCCGGATGGACAATGACTGTCAAAGTGATTCTTTTACTGTTGCCAGGTAGGTTTTGTACTGTACCATGCATGGTGGCAGCTCGACAATACAGCAAAGTGACTAGCAAATGACAGGCCGGGTGATTTCTAGCCATTCCTGGTAGAGATTACTAAAAGAAAGAAAAAGACAGGGACAGAGAAGGGTCGTTCTGTACAGTTCTGTACAGTATATTAAAAATGAGAGGGCTGACTATTTTGCTGGTCATCTTAGCCGAAGCGTACTGTATGTCTGAAACGATACACTATACTGTCCACGATTGCCATGCAAATTAGCCGTTGATTTAGTTTTGTACAGTGCAGTATACGCTTTCGGTGGTAGCGTACAGTAGAATGATTGAAAAAATGATAAGCCCTTCATTATTTTGCACTGAACAGCCGCTAGGCGTCCCTCTCTCTTTCTAAGGCAGTGATGATTGAACGCAAGACATTGTCCGTCTTTCTCTCCTTCTTCTACACACGATAACCATGACGTACAGTACTGTACAGTACAACACCATCATAACGTACAGTACATACTGTACATGACAGCACTGTAAACCCTAGGGTCCAAGACTGCAACAGGGTCGCCTCACCTGTCTTGCTGATGTCAGTACAAAAATCGGCGCGATAGAATTCTTTTCATTGAAGAGCACCATTTTGCAAAGTTTTCATGAACTAAGAAGAATATCAAGATGCCAGTCTATCCAGGTTAGAGACAGCGCAACAAATTCATGATAGGCTTTAATTTCCTTTACTTGGTAGCTAATGGAATTCTCTTCATCAGTGATTCAGAAATACGATCATTGTTTCACATGGATATTGTCAGACTGACATTGAGTGGAGTAATCTAGGCTGCGCACAAAACGATACACTTGCTCTCACAGGCTACTGTACTTAGTGCAATGCTACAGTGTATTATATGTACAGTATGGTACAGTAATTGGCATGCGGTACTACTACCGTAAAATGCTACTGACAGCATCATGATCAAGGACTTCCTTCACCTCCAATAGAATGATTTCAGTTATCAAGCTAGAATTAATAGATACCGTCGATAGTAATAAATGAGAATATTATTAATCCGTCGATATTTTACCTCATGGCGTAAAGAACAACACAAATTGAAGTAGTAGAAAGTAGACACGCACAGTACTGTACTGCAGAATTCAGTAAAACAGTTCAACATCGATCAGTGTAGTCTAGGTAACTTGGCAACAAGCGGTAGACTTTGAATAATGATGATTCAGTGCAACAAGAATTCTTGAATTCTTGTTGCACTTTTTAAAAGCATCATTTTTACTATACACACCTAATATTATAATACTTGTTGATAAACGACCGTAGTAATGATAGAATCAATCTAATTAGACGAGAATTGCATCATTTTATGACAATTTCTATTCCAATTTAGTGAATGTCAAGTGGGGCAAAGTAAGGTTCGATAATGTTCAAGTTAACACTGACGAACCACCATTGGTTTTCAAAGCTCAAATCTTTGCTTTGTCCGGTGTTGAGCCTGAAAGACAAAAAGTCATGTTTAAAGGCAAAGTATTGAAGGTTGGTTGAATGGATCCTACATGATAGAGTAGCTGTTACATCGGTAGTAGTGATCCAACACGGACTACTACATTTATCTTGCCAGTTTATAGATTGTATGACATACAGCAATAGTGTAATTGCTGCACCCGTAAAGTCACGGCTGGACATATTTATTAAATAGCATACGTGCGCGTATATCTCGGTAATACTCTACATGTTTTACCTACGTCTACATGCAGTATACGAGCGTATATCTTAGACAATTGTGATTGATGGATTAATTAATAAACTCCCAATCAATACCATTCACATTATTTCTACATCGTATAGTGTATAGTATTCAATCTTGCAAAGATACTTGTATAATACGTATTAACGGAGGTAAAACTCCAATCGGTAATCGTCAGCTGTTGGAATAGTAATAGAAGAATTATTTCAATAATAAGACTGAGGCAGTGTCATTTTTAAAATTTGGAACCATTCGATAGCAATCAATAAACAATCGTGGGTACAACTATCATTATTATATACGGTATTCGTAGCTATTTTATTAATATAGCCTTATCACTATCATTTCTTATAAGTTGATGTATTACATTGCGTACTTACTCATCAATCTTGTTTAAAAAAGATAAATAGTAAATGACTATACTAAAAATGCAATAAACTGAATAAGATTACAAATTATGTAATATTATTTAAAATATAATATTTTCTAGGATGACGAAGATTGGACAAACTTTAAATTGAGAGAAGTAAGCGATCCATTTTTGTAGATATGCGATAGTACTTGTTGCTACCTTTGCTACCAATAGAGTCCTGGTAGTTTTATTTGAATGACTCTCACATAGTATTAAGGGGGAAATATTACTTTTTTAACTAGGGTGTTACCGTAATGTTGATGGGTACTGTTGGGGAATTGCCAAAGCCACCCGAGGAGAAAACTGTATTTGCTGAAGATTTAACTGATGCTGAATTAGCTACTACGGTAAGTTTAGGTAACTTTTAGTATCATGATGGTTTACATATGCAACAAATAAGTAACATACCGCACTGAGTCTTGTTAGTATATTAACGTACAGAATGATTATGAGTGACACAGTTTTCAATCCTTTGAATTTGAAGTATATAGATTGAAAATTTTTCTTTTGCCTCATCGATTATTTCCATATTAATCATGAGATTAAATATTCTTGTTTACCCTAGTTGGATATGCCGACTGGATTAATCAATCTTGGTAATACTTGCTACATGAATGCTACTATTCAATGCCTTAAGAATGTACCAGAACTATGTGACCATTTAAAGCAGTATGTTTTCACTTAACAGATCCAAAAAATAAACATCAATACATAAAAATTCTGTCCTTATGAGCAAAATACACCTCAGAGATGATCAAATTTGATAACTAATACAAAGGTGACTTTATAATACTATTTCATTCTTGATCATAGATATTCTGGTCAAGTTTTTGCAGAAGCAGATCCACAACATATTCTAACGGCAGGTACAAGACTAACAAATAGTATTTATTGAAGATAAACTATAATATCAACATTAATTCACTCTAAGTATGTAATCATTCTTAAAGAATATGCTTACTTTTCCAGCGCTACGTGAATTATTTAATACTATGAATAGATCGAAAGAAGCATGTCACCCTTTGCTTTTCTTGCAAGTCCTCCATCAAGTATTTCCGCAGTTTGCTGAGAAGAATGAGCAAGGCATGCTACAACAACAGGTGTTTTAAAAATCGCATTTTTTATTACCGTGACAATCACTATCATCAGAGATTATTATAATTAAGGATCATGATTGATTAACGATAACACTTAGCCTGTATTGTATTGTTTAGGATGCAAATGAATGCTGGATTGAAGTTGTCAGGACTCTGCAGCAAAAGTTAGCACTTGGAAGTAGCTCAGGGGTACATTAATTGTCCTTTATTTTACTCTATTAAATTTTTCTCAGCTTTGTAACGATATTTCGCTTGTATTTAAATATGTAGAACGCCGGCGCTGGAGCTGCAAATTCTAATATCATTGATCAGTATTTCGGTAATCTACAAGCCCATTTCACTTATATTTGTAATTTTATTATTAGCGAAGTGTCTATAGAGACTGTTCAATTATTAACATATATATTTATTTACAATTTTTTTATAAACTTTAGCTGGCGATTTCAAAAGCACGTATGTTTCACAATCTAAATGTCTATTATAAATATTACATTTGTTTCAAATCTATTTCTAACCTATCGTTAATATCATACATTAAAGTACGAAATGTATAGAAGCACCAGACGAACCAGAGAAATGTTCGGCTGAAAAATTTTATCAACTACCGTGTTACATTTCTGCTGGTATAATCTGAAGCTGTTTTATTTTATATTCTATAATTGTACATTAAATAAGCCGATTTACCAAAGAAAATAATATATATTTTATCAATTATAATTATTTAGATGTAAAATATATGCAAACTGGAATTCAACAGGTACAATAAAGATAACATTACTTCATACAATGACCTACAGTAAAATACTTGCAGCATATTATTTACACAATGATCGTAATACAAGAAATGGTTATTGTAAAAATGAAAATGGATAATTTCTGTCCTATAAATTAAAGAGATTACAAGAAACTATAACAAAAAATTCTATTACATTGGGACGAAATGCGGAATATGTAAAATCGGTAAGTCTCATGAAGGATTAAGTAACTAAATTAGATGCTAATTATTTCTATTCGTATCGTAGTCGCTCATTAATAGATTACCAGGGTATTTGTGCGTCCAGTTTATTCGTTTCTATTTTAAAGAAAAAGGCGCAATTAATGCTAAAATCCTGAAGGTATGTAACCATGATCAAGAAGCAGAGCGCATTATTTAATGTTAAAAATGCATTTTAATAAGTTTTCTGAATCATTTCACTTCTGTTGTTCTCTTTAGGATGTTAAATTCTCCTTAGATTTGGACGTTTTTGACTTATGTACGCCGGAATTACAACAAAAATTAATACCGATGAGGAACAAATTTAAGGAATTCGAAGATAAGAATATAGAAAAGGAGAAGGTGATGTAATTAATTTATGAGAATATAAGTTGTGGCTGATATATGATGATGAAAAAGGTGAACTAATCTGTTTTAATGATTTAAATTATTGTAGGAAAAAAAAATTAAAATGGCTGGTAATATTAAAGAAGAAAACAAAATTTACGCCCCTTATTCGTTTGACGATGGTAATAAATTAGCTTTCAATTACAGAATTCTTGCTAACTATGCTTAAAGTACTATTGATGTTATATAGAGTCAAAAAATTTTATACAGTTATTTTCTATTTGAAAGATACTGGATCAAACAACAGCGGATATTACGAATTGTCTGCTGTCTTAACACACCAAGGAAGATCATCTAATTCTGGTCATTACGTTGCTTGGACTAAAAAGAAGGAAGGCATGTTTTTTAATATTATTGATATCTTGGTACTATACGTATACGACATTCATATTAATTGAACTTATGTACTCGTGCTGTAGACACTTGGATTAAATGTGACGATGATAAAATCTCAGTCATTACAAACGAAGATATACTAAAATTATCGGGCGGAGGTACTCTTATGATTAAATTAAATAATGATTTTAGTATACGGTATATTTTATAGACTTGGTATCGAGTATTCTTTGTTATAACGTTTATGTGTATTTATTTTAGGTGATTGGCATATCGCTTATATTTTACTATATTCGCCA